GTCAAACCGGTCATCGATGGGGATGTTTGCCTCCATCAAGGACCGGTTAAAACGGCCGGTCCTTGATGGGGGTGTTTCTCCCATCGATGACCGGTCAAAGGTCATCGATGGGGGTTTTTTGGGGGGGGGGGGTTACTCCCATCGATGACCGGTTTTGACCGGTCATCGCTGGGGGTGTTTAAACCCATCGATGACCGGTCATAACCGGTCATCCAAGGGGGTGTTTGGGGGGGTTGACCTCCATCGATGACCGGTTTTGACCGGTCATCGATGGGGGTGTTTAATCCCATTGATGACCGGTCATCGATGGGGGTGTTTAATCCCATTGATGACCGGTCATCAATGGGGGGGTTTGGGGGGGTTGACTCCCATCAAGGACCGGTCAAAACCGGTCCTTGATGGGAGTGTGTCCTCCCATTGATGACCAGTGTCATAAATGGTCATCAATGGGAGGACTGTCTGGCCAAATTTCATTTTTTATTTTTATTTTAATTTAATTTTAATTTTAATTTTTTTTGGCCAAAGTGGCGGTTCAGTACCTCCATAGTCTTGGCTAATCGACTCCCAAAAATTGGAGAGTCGACTCCCAAACCCCGAAACCCCCGGAATTTCCACCGAAATCCCCGAGGAATGGGAGTCGATCCCCCAAATCCGTCAGCGGGTTTGGGAGTCAAAAAGCCAAGCATTTTTATTAAAAAATAATCCAACCCCCAAAGGAGTTGGGGGAGGACCCCGGCAAGTGCCTGTCAAACCAACTCATGTAATTCCCAGGAAATTTGGGTTTTGGATACATAGAGAAACCTGGTTTTTCTAATCAAAACTTCATTTAGATACCTCAACAGCTGGGAGAAACAGTCTCGGCCGTTGAGAGTGTACACTCTCAACAGCCGGGAGAAACACTCTCGGCCGTTGAGAGTTGAGAGTGTACACTCTCAACGGCCAAGAGTGTTTCTCTCGGCCGCTGAGGGTGTGCCATCAGCGGCCGGGAGGAATCCTCCCGGCCGACACGGGCTCTTTTTAGTTAGCGACCCCCAAAACCCAGTGGGTTTTGGGGAATCGACCCCCAACTCCTTCGGGGGTTGGATTATCTACATATAACTAAAAAAATAGCCTCAGAGGGCCAAACAAACCGTCAGGCTTGAATAGTGCTTTCTATTGATTTCTCATGCGGCTTCTAACGCCAGTGTCGATATTTCACTTTTCAATGTCATTTCTGACATTCACTAAGACTTTACAATCATAGCGACCTTCAAAATCAAAGGCTACATACTAATCACACCAAAAAAAAAATTCCGGTGGATTTATTCATATTTTTTGCAACCAAAAGTTGCAAGCTTTTCTGGGTTAGCTGTACATAGGACCTTAAACAAGTAAAACCCCCAACATCCGGGGCAAAAAAAAGCAGCCTCCCCAAATTTGGGGGCATATACTAGTTTTTTAATAAAAAATGCTTGGCTTTTCGACTCCCAAACCCGCTGACGGGTTTGGAGGATCGACTCCCATTCCTCGGGGATTTCGGAGAAGTTGCGGGGGTTTCGGGGTTTGGGAGTCGACTCTTCAATTTTTGGGAGTCGATTAGCCAAGACCCTTTTTTTTCTTTCATTATAATATCAAGCGTGTTTTGGGGACAACGTCCTCGTCATGAGGTTTGATCATTCCGATGGAAATTCAATCATTTAACAAATGGAAAAGAAAGAAGAAGATGATTGAGTTCCGTTAAGTTTCATCAAACCAGCAGTTGATCATCAAAACTTCGATTGATTAGATGTAGACCAAAAAAAATGATCAGTATAACTAGAAATTGATTTTATTTTTTAAAGCCTAGATTCAAACTCAATGAACATCAGCCTCAAACTACAGAGAACAAGTTTCCTTGTGCTGTTCAGTTTTGAGCTTAATTTCAAGCACCGATTTAGGTCGAGTGTCGGTGTCGACGGGGTGCAGATGGTTGCAGGAACTCCGGGCGGCGTATAATGCATTTTGGATTAAAAAGCTCAATATGCTAGTCATATTGGTGGCACAATTTTGTTCTTTCAGTTTCGATACACGGGCAATTTTGAGAAAGAAAGAAAGAAAAGAAAGAAAAAAAAAAAAAAAATCTAAGAAAACAGAACCTTACATGTTTCCTATGAGGGCGATAGGCCCATGTATGGCCTGAGGAAGGATATATATGAATCAGACTCGATCTTGCTATAATATGATAGTAATTTGGGCGCACCACTTGCTCGACCAATACCCAAGTGGGGTCACTAAAATGAGTTAGTTTGGTTGAGGGAGCACATAGCTGTGTTCCGAATCCCAGGTTCTCTTTAGCACCATCTCGAAACCAACTTGATTGCTCGTGATTGAAGAAGACGACGAAGAAAAGAGCAAGATGCGTACCATGTAGACAAGTGTTGGACAGTATAAGATCTCTTGGAGATAGATCAAAAGAGCGTGGTTGATCAGTCGTTTCCTCACCTTGTCGATCGTGTCCTGATGGGTTGGGGTGCAGATTTGGACAGAGCCTCTTTGCAGGAGGTCTTTAGGCACTGCTCGCTTGCGCAGGCCTCGTAAAGCTATCACGGAGATGGGCAGATAAACCTTCAAAAAGTGTGTTATGTATGAGCTTTGATCTTCCACATAGTGTTGATCTCATCGGGGGACATCTTTAGGAAACGCTTACGATTGCTATCAACAGATGTTGTAACAAGTAAAGCAGCAAAACGATCTTGGTGTAACGGTTGAGACGCGTCTAGAGAAAGAAAGAAAAACAAGTCCAGAACAAGCATGATCACTACAAAGTTACGATCTTGGAAGAATCGATGTGAACAACGGCGCACGGCAATTTCCAAGGTGCTTGCCATAGGCTTCAGCAGTCGAAGCACACTCAGATAGCTGTAGGTCTCGGCTCGGTAGCTGGGTGCGGTTTCGATAAGGGTCGCCACGATTCCGTCGGTGTTGGTTTCGATGATCCTTAAACTGCGAGCAACTAGGATCGAGATCCACAAAAGTAATGCTAGTCGATGAGAAGTGGGACGGCAGATCAGTCTGTGGTCCTCGTGCTCGTCGGAATCAAAAAAAAAAAAAGAAAAGAGAAACATGTGCCCACCGCCAGGGACAACCATCAAAGTCACCAATGAGCCGTTGAGCGCGAAACGTAGATGAGCCGAAAGTCTAATGGACGCTCCAGCTCGGGCTCGGGCTCCTAAAGAGCTCAGATTCAGTGCGGTCTCGATGCCTAGAATCCATAAGAATACTTTTGTTCCGTTTATTTCATAAGGAAACCGATTATTTTTTTTATCAACCCATGGCTTTGCAGTTGTTACATTCGAGACAGACTAAGTCAAGTAGAATCTTGGAAATCTTACACCTGCCCTCGGAGTTTCCCTAGTCAGTCTTTCATACTTCTACCACGTCAAGATGAAAAGATATATTTAGGAACGCTATCTATAACACTCACCAACAAACAATCGCTGCAATGGGAAACTTGCATGTGTGCAAAACAATCTTACTCGACAGACGCAGGAGGTTTTTTTCCGTGAATTCTTGTGTGAATAAATCCACAAATGCCACTGATTCTCATCGAAAGGAAGATGGTCAGTTGAGTATAAATCGATCAGTCGTTTGCTGAAGGGAATAGGCGAAATATACCCTGGCGAGCCTACAGCGAAAATTCACGTACTGAGAGAAAAGACGAGCATCAATAGCACGATTTCATTGAGCACCTCGACGTGGATCAACCCCACTAATATTTAAAGCATGAGATAGACTGTCTCCCGTCAATTCCATTCCAACTATAACCCGCTTTCAACAGCTTTCAACCTCATCGTCTTAATTCAAGCCCACTGACGTTTGTTGTACCTGAAAAAATGTAGCTTCTTGGCTTTTTTTCGCAAATAAAGAACGGCTGCGGCTTGGCAACACAAGCTGAACACAAATGAAAGTCCAACAGCGCGGGGTTGGGGGGGGGGGATATAAAAAAATAAGCCATGTTAAGTTGAGTCAGAAGTATTTTCAAGTGGACAGAGCTGAGTCTGAACTGACACGAAGAACTGGAAAGCTATGATTCGCCGAAGAATGAGTCCCCAAAGAACAGGGGTGGCCTCCTGATGAGAAACCGATCTCAGTTTCTTGGTCGACACTGTAAATTGTAGAAGTCTGGCTACTTACTTCGGTTTCTTGCTTGATCTTTACAGCCGTTGCCTCATAAGGATTGGTCGATGCCGGCAGACTCGTCAGGAACTTGATCAGCTCTTGTGTAACTTGATTCATGACCACTAGTTGCTGAACTTCTATGTATCCTTGCCACGATCACGAAAGGGAATAAAGGCTAAAGATGTAGGCGATGTCGACTAATCCAAGTCATCAATCGAACTTTGTACCTTGGTTGGAGATGGACGCTCTGATATAAGCTAGAGCCCATCTCCAACTCGTCTCTCCTAAAAATTGCATATCTCCCAGGGCGTCCAATCTGGTGATTTAGGAAATCGCGCCATATTAGTGTGGGCGATGAATGGGTAACCACTCTGGAGATACTGTCCACACTGAGCACTTGAGGCACCGATGTTAAGCACCAGGAAAATTCGAAAATGCCCGGGATCTCGATTGCTAGCGTTTTCTCGAGTTTAACCACGCATTGGCCTGTCGCGTTTTCGTCGTTGAGAGTGCCCTTGCTCTAGTTCATGTAAACAAGTCCGGAAGTAAGAGTCGTATATCCTGAACTTGAATGTTTATCTGAGACCCGAAATTTACATCTCAAGAAATCCATAATCTACCGAATGACAAAAGCCGAAAAACTCTCCTTCCAACCGACACATAGCTACCCTGATTCGAACAGATACAACGCGGTATGAAGGCATTAACGAGACTAAGGATGTGATGTGCTGAGAGAGAAAACATCTGCGGACCCTGAGGCGCGTCTCTTAAAAAGTTGAACCCGGGATATCGAGAAACCACAAGATTCCAAAATGTCAATAAGTCATACACCAGACCCAGATGCTTCCAAGGAGAAAATTATCATTCATGGCGCAGTTTCTCTGTAAGCAAAATCATTCCATTCGGGCCAATTTTTGGTTGTCTTTTGCCTACTGTACTCTTGCACAGGTTATTGGTTGCAGGGTAAACGGGCAGAGACTTTTGTAACATTAGAACAAGTGCAAATCAATCTTTTTCTTTCAAAGCGAAATGACACTTAACAGCTTGGCCGCACTAGAATCGGAGGTGTTGGCAAAAATGAGTTTCCTTCCTGATATTTTTCCGTCGTCGGCTCATATGGATAATGGCAGGCGTGCCACGACTGCCATCATCTGCCGGGTTAAGGTCCGCGACCGCCCTGCGCTTGGAACATGGCTTTATTTATCGATTCAAACGGGACCCGGTTCAATCCGGCTTGAGGCTTGTAGACCCACTAGGTTTGATAGTCGCCAAGCTGATTTTACAGGTACATATATTAAAGGCTGTTGAGCTTGAAGCTTTGCAATGGAGATCAGGATCTATTTCCCTACTTGAGAAGTATGCGTCGGCCGACCTCGTAAAGTGGGAATTCATTCACCTGGGGAAGATGGCCGGCAATCGGCCCGGCTCTACAGACAGGATATCGGCCACAATACATCAGAGGGCGTTTGATGGAAACCCATCCTCGGGATGACACGGCGCAGTGGAGTACTTCGTTCACAATATCCACCGCTCAAAAAATTGGAAATCTTTCAATTTCAAGAGGGCAAACTTCATGAAGGTCCCTCGAGTAAGCTCGCATTGACGCGCAACCGTTGGATGGCCGAGGGTGGAGGAGGTTCAGCATACGAAACCAGGACCCTACTTTTTTTTAAAAAAGGAGGCCTTGATTCTGCTGCATCAACAATTGAATGCGGGCTTTCCCTATCCACACAGTGGGGAAAGCGTGTTCCAACCGTTCCAGAAGTCATCATTGCTTACGCACCGTCCGGTAATTATACAGAGCCACCTCCTGAAACTCAAAACATATGTAGTACAAACTGGTCTTCCAGAACTTTACTGCTCAGCTGCAGGAGCCCGTTACAGTTCAAGATGTTCTTAATTTACCGGGTAAGCAAGCCGAATTGTACATGACTTTTTTTTTGAACTGTGTAATCATATTCCAATCAACAAGCTTGAAGTTTTTACCATGATCCGCAAAGATTCAAATGGAGGCATGGAGCAATAAGCAAGATATTATTTATATTTTTCAGGAAAGGGGAGACGTGCCGCGCTATATGTAGATGGGATGAGTCTATGTATGAATACAAGCAAAAAGATGAAGTGGATAACATGAATGATTTGGAAAGAGAGGAAAGATTGATGCAATGCTATTAATGTTATTCTTTCATATCAATAACCATTTGTTTGGCTTTCCTTGGTAAGGATTCGAATTCAGGCATTAGAGGGTTATAAGGGATTGGAGATTGGACAGATTGGTTGTCGGAGTCGTTCCAAATCTCGAGTTTTTCTGCGAGCACAAGTACCTGATTTTGCAAGATTAAGAGATGAGAGTAAGAGCCTGTGAGCCAGCACATGGCCATCGCGTAGATTGCGAATCCGAGGGTACCAGCCAGAGCGGTGAAGATGACAAGAGTGAAAGTGATATCATGAAGGCTCGAGTTTCTCGCAATCCCAAAGCCTATCGAGGCGCCAATCACGCTCCAGAAAGGTGCCTGGCTGAACACTCGAACAAACACTCGCCCGAAATCCTCGTTCTCTCCTCGATCGCTCGCGTCTCCTTCGCCCGTGTACAGTAGCTTGCCATTCACAATAAATATTGCATGGAGCAAGCCGCCGATCCCACCCGCAAGACCTCCGATGATCACAATCATCTGCACAACGCGCCTATCGTGCTGCCAAATCAGCGAGCCCAAAAGCCCCGTCAAAGCCCCAACGATGCTGTTTGCAATCGTGCCAAAGGCTAGCACCCCGACACAGTTGATAACTTTAGTCATGGGAGCAGGGCAAGTGGTTGGCCCTCGAAGATTCCTATGATTATGAAGGAAATAAGGTCAGGCTTATGATGAGCGTCGCACCAAAAAGAAAAAGAAAAAATTGAAAATTGAACCCAGAGTACGAGTAGGAAAACAGTTGCACAACTAACGATGATATCTCTAAATCAGCCTTGGAAACAGTGGGCTGCATAATTAGTCGAGTAGTAGAAATTGATGCTTCTTGTCTGTCGAGGGGGCTCAATGGAGGGCTGCTTTTTAAATCAGACATCAAGGCAATCTCAATAAATGAGCAACCGAAATTTTTGCCTTGCACCAGAATTAATACTGGATCGATCTCTAGATTTGCAGATCAAACTAAAACATTTTTTTGATGATCCGGGAAATCAGGCATTTCAATGAGTACCCACCTCTTTGCGTAACAGGTGGTGCGAGAAACTTGGCGACGGTGGCTCGCCGGCTGGTATATGTTTGTTAATCCGATGGTAAGCAAGAAGCCTAGTTATAGAGCCTAGAGTATTTTAGTGTAGTAAATTGTTCTAGATTCAAGGGCTTGGGTAGCACGTTGAATGATGATCGACAATTCGGGAGGACAAGAAGAGATCCAACTGATTTCGATGGCTGGCTGGTTTAAATGCTGAATGAGGAAGCCCGTCTGAACCGAGGGCAACAACCTTTTCACTAGCTGGGATAGAGGGCCAAACCAGTATGTAGCTCATCTTCCATCCTCCAGCTCTGAAGGGGCCCAAGATCTTGCCATAATACAAATGAATACATTCCTCTCAACTTGGGTGATCAGGTCCCTGAGCAAATAAATGGAGAAGGTCTGCGGATGCAGCGGGAGAAGTTGGGTACATACCGGCAAGCCGCATCAATCGACCTTCATCATCAATCGATCGACAGGCGCATGGCGTTGTTATGTATTCAACACCGGCTCAATTCCCTTGTCAAATCTTGTTGCGTATTCTCTGTTGTTGTGTTGAGTATGCATCTGCGCACGAAAAAATATGCTTGAATTTTTACATTGTTCCTCCTTAATTCACTGGGGTGTCGGCCTTGTTGTACTCGGTTTCTACCTGCCAGTACCATGCTAACAGAATCTAATAGCCTCAAAGGGCCAAGGGGCACTTACAATTAAGTTTGTAGCCACAGCAGAGCACGAGGCTGCAGCCGGCCACGAGCTGGTAGTAGCTGGTAACTATAAGTTATAACTACATATAAGATGTAACATAGTTTCTTAAATCACCAAAGGCGTATCATCTCAATCTCTCACCCTTCATTTATATATAGCGCAGGGATATGAGGAGCTGGTTGTGATCAGGCAGATTGAGACTTTCATGTTCTGATAACCCAGTATGAGAGCTCACTTCTCTCTGATCAATTAGACTGAGATTTGTATGATCTGATAACCCTATGTGAGAGCTCACTACAAAACCCGTCATTTCAAGGATCACAATGAGTACTCAAGTGGTAAACTTGTGGATAAAACAACCCCTAGGATCATACACTGCGGGAGAACAGGGATATATTCGCTCACTCGAATTCATCACCTGCTAATAGCTATGAGATGTTTATCTTTCTAAATAGAATCACAATGAAAGAGGGATGTAGAAAAGTCAAGGATTGGTTTCTGATACAATCGATCAAGCTGCGCTGCACTCATAAGCGGCTTTGACTTTTATCTGGAAGCGATCACCTAGTCGGGCTGTAAAATACAACTCAAATCAATCGCTGATCGAAATATATTGTTAAGACAAAAAAAACTCACTGATAGTCATCTATTCGCAACAATAATCCCACAGTCTCAGTGGCCAAAGTGATAGCAGTAGTCGAGACAAGCAACGGTTGTAGAACGTTTTCTTCCAACATGTTGCTAATCAAGCCCTGCATAGTGGAACTAACATCAATACCTAGTCATCATCACTACTTATAAAGGACGCTGATTACCTTTCGCACGTTAATACCGGCAGTTCTTTCCCCGGCGGCGTGCCGACTTCTTAATTCAGTGATTACTGCGACTGGATTTGGCAGACCTGCGTTTTCGGCTAGCGTGGTGGGGATAACTTCCAGAGCGTCGGCAAAAGCTTGGAAGCAGTATGCTTCCATCCCTTTGAGTGTTTGGGCATGTTGAGACAGGAGCCGTGAAATATGAATTTCGGGTGCCCCACCACCAACAATCAAGGCACTAAGATTGGTAGATGTGGGATTTATCAACTCAAATTTTTCGTATGCGATAAGCAAAATTTGACTAACCGTTTTTTGACTAGACATCGAATCACACAAAGGGCATCGTGCAAACTGCGCTCACTTTCATCCACCACCAGTTCGTTAGCGGCAGTACAGAGGATACTTGCCGTTTTGCCTTGGTTCTTGATCCCTGAGACCCGAACAGTCTTGGCGCCATTGAGGCTAAGTTCTTCCACAAGGTCAGCTTCGCCCAACTTGTCCGCTGAGAAAGCTTCGATGTCAGCAATTGGCTTGCAGCCCAAGGTTTTGCTAATGAAATCGATCTCATCCCGCTCAACGTCTTTGATCACCATTATTTTAAATTTGGCGAGGAAAAAGGCAGCGATCTCGTTTAGCGCATCCCGGAGAATTGACTTTTGAATTAGCAACACGTTGCATCCGGTTTTCGAAATCGTTTTGCAGATTTCTAGTAGATATTGTCGCTCCTCCTTGAGAATCTTGTCAAGTTGTCCGTATCGGGTAACGTTGATTTCGTTGTCCATCTAACAATAACGTTTGTAAGCAAAGCACTCAGATCTATGGAAACCAGTATAATAGTTTGCATTGAGTATGTAATGCAACACAAGACTCACATCTGGTTTGGGTGTACCCAATTGGAATTGAATCAAGCCAATCTTAGCCTTTTCTTTCCTTGATGGCCCTCCCTGGCTATTGGTGACACTCTGGCGCAAGACCATCCCGTCAACCAAGCTAGTATCTTCGATCGTTCCACCAACTTTCTTGATGATTCGAATGTTCTTCAGATCAACACTAGAGGTCTCTAGGTCGGCTACTCGTTTGACGGCATCGACTGCAATCGGGGCCAGAATAGAAGAATATTGCGAGACGATCTTGGAGTTTAGGGAAGTGCTTGCAGCGCGCAGTAATGAGTCGCGATCATTGAGATCAACGGGGGTAGAAATTTCTTCAAGGAATTCTACACTTTTCATCGCTGCGCGTGAAAAGCTCTCAGCAATGATAGTTGGATGGATTCCTATGAGAACAGTCGAAAAGGTAAGCAGACACATTCTGAAGTGGTGACATAATAATTAGCCTGAAATCCCACAGATGATTGTACCTTTAGCCAATAGTTTTTCAGCCGCGCCGAGGAGGCTTCCTGCAAGGACGACCACACTAGTAGTTCCATCACCAGCCGATACGTCTTGGGCAGCCGAAAGTTCGACGAGCATTCTAGCAGCGGGGTGCATGACACTCATTGATTTGAGGATAGTGGCTCCATCGTTTGATATCGTCACGTTTCCATCGGCCGTCTGAATCATCTTGTCCATCCCACGAGGACCAAGAGAGGTTCTAATTGCATCAGAGATCGCTACAAATGAAAAACATGTCAGCCGGAGCTGGCGGGCTGCTTGAGTCGATTAAGAATGGTAACCTTTCGCTGCCGTCATGTTGCTAATGGAAGAAATGATGTTAGACTCTCAAGTGACGTCGTATATGAATGTTTTAAAGCTCACCTCAATCGAACTTCCATCGGTTTCTCGGCATTCTTGAAAGCCTTTCGTCCTTGGCTTGGCCCATTCGAGCTGTTTCCAGGATTGGGAGCTGCAGGAGCGCCGAGGGGGATTGCCATTGTCTAACGGGTGATGTAGGGTAGGGTGAAAGGTGAAGAGAGTCAAACTGTATCTTGGTGGTCAACAGCTGGTAATGAGCCGATCGATCACTCCAACAGCTTGGATGGTTTCACTGTCAGCTGCTGGCGACTGCTCCATGCATATATGCAAAGTCAAACATCTAACTTCGAGAGCATCGCCACCGCACACCCTGTCCAACCAACAACTTGGGAGGGAAAAAGCTGATGGGGAACTGGAAGGACGGGGTCACGGGTCACGGGGCCACAGCTGGAAAAGCACCCCTTATCTGGAGTACTTGAATTCAGCGATCCAAAAAAGTGTCTTAAACCAACTCCTTGAGGTTTCATCTGTGGCCAAAAAGAATCCTAATTATAACTTCATAAATTGGGGGAAATGTAAAATTTACCCTTTTGATATTTATTTGAGTTGGAATAGGCTCTCTAAACCCCATTTGAATTGATTATTCTTATCAGTTACAATGTTATATTGATTTTCATAGTTTCAACTTATAACATAGATACATAGAATATGAACCCAGGGGGTCAGTAATAGTGAAAGTTTGCAATGGCTTCTCTTACCATTCACCACTGATTGTCACCCCATGTGAACAAGATGATAGAGATTCTGTACCTACCAGAATTTAAATAAAGTTACAACCAGTTTTTAAGATTTGCATCTTGAATGTATGGGGCCTTTTGAGATGACTTAACATACATAGTTCAAGACAGCACTTTTGAATTTTGTTAAGCATTGAAAAATCCCACTGTGAATGATCCTAGCAGCAGCTGTTAAACAAGTTAATTGATAGGGCCCCTTACCAAAAGGCTAATCTTAATCAAGAAAATACATGTCTACACATAAAAAGTAATCAGGCTAATCAAAAAAATATTACATCCAAATCCTTTTTTCTGACAAATGGGTAAATTGGACTGCGGCGCTGCGGGTCGCGCCTCCTACATAGACGGCGGGGAACTTGTGTCAAGCTCGGTACGTCGCGGCTTGACTGGGTTGCTGTCCCTACCGAGGAACAATTTGGCCACAACAACGATTTCCTGCGATAATCAACTGAACATTTCCATCGAGCAAGCAGCACCCTCCACCTCGAATCCCTTTATATTGGACGCCATACCTGATTTCGCGCTCACTTGGCCGTCAAAATTCTGGCTTGCCACAACCAAACGGCGCATTCATGCTGCTTCGGAATCGGCTCTTGTCTAGTTTTCAATTCGGTATTATCAGCTAATTCGGTGCGGACCATTGGTGACGATGCTCGACGAGTTGCTACATCATCTCGTGGCAGAGATGGCCATGGATGGCGAGGAAGGTAGAGCGTACATTGAGTTGTTTATAAAAGAAGCTCTCAGACTGTTTTACTGACAGTTGAATTGTGTATTACCAGGCTGCTCCGTGGCCCGGTTGGATGGATTCATTGAGTCTTACTACGCTCGCCGCCGAGCTCGTTTCCCCGCTGAACCCACTCAGTTTGTCGATGAGGCCTACAAAAACTTCGTCTGGGGGAAACTTTGTCAACTAGAACCAGTCAGGCTAGGTGTCCTCGAACCCGCCCCAATTTCCAGCGAAGTGGTCGAGGATGACTCGACGCAGGAACCCAACTCAAACGTGACGAGCTCAGCGTCCAACGAAAATCCTGCCTCCAAAACTTTGCAAATACCCATAATCGCATCCAAGGCCGCAAACAAGATGACCCAGCGTCCTAACAGGCTCACCAAGTCAACGAAGAATCGAAACAAAACTGAAGTCGGTTCAAATTCAAAAAACGCGGATGCCAACTCTCCTTGTCTGAGCATCGGTCAGTTGCGAGCACTAGAGACGGGCAAAGTTCAAAAAAGTTTTCAAGTTCCTCGGACACAAGAACTCAAGAAAGCCACAGCTACTTCTAAACAAATCATCACCCCATCCTCTTCCGTTTGGAGAGAATTGAGTCCTTCTTTGGTCACTCTACCGAGGGATGAACTTCTGGCGAGATTCGGTCTAGGCGATGATGGCGAAAGCAAGTTGAAGATAGCCGTTGATCCAATGACCTGCTGGAAAGCCGTCGTTGGTACTGATACTCGGGTGAGTACATGTCATCATTCAACTTATGGACGAAACTGACACAAGCCGTCATTCTTGCTGATGACAGAGTCCCCGCTTGACGCCATATGTATACCAAGTTCTTTCGATTGTGGCTCAAGGCAGGGAAGCTGGTGCCACAGTAATCGAATTGGGCCGCCATCTGAAGCATGACCAGAAATCCCTTTTTCACTTTGTCAAAGTTCTTACCGACCTTCAACTGGTTGTCAAGTTCCGAGCGTACCAACACAAAGCATGGACCAATCGCGTGGTTCACAGGCGCTATCTGGCCACCTCTGAGTGGTACCAAAACTCTATCAGAAAAGATGAAGACCACCCAACCTCCTCAACCCAAACTCCTGGTTTCGAGTTCGATGAATACGGTCTCGCTCGCATTGAACAGCCCAACACTTCTTCCTTCTCAAACAACGTCACCGAGAATCTAACTTTGGATGGCGTCATTAATTCTGTGACAACCGATGATCCACCTAAGGCAGTGATGTCTCCGATAAACAAGGAATTCCTCGCCGTAAATGAGAACTTAGTAAAGACAAGAATGTTTACCGTCCTCAAAAGGAATCCAGATAACACGATGGTTCATGCCGATATCATCAAAGCCATTGTTTTGAGTCAACTCCAATTGTTTTAGAAATTTACTATGGGCTTTTTTTGAGTCTTATATCTCACACACCACTTTTCCTTTCTTCATTGATCTACTAGGGTATCAGCACTCCAACAAAAGACGAACGAAGGAGGCTTAATCGATTGATTGATGCCTACATCAAGCGCGGACTTTTAGAAAGAGTGGCGATAGTAAACACAAGTGGGCACACCCCATGCATTCGATTGACTGCCGCTGGTGAAGAGTCGATGTGTACTCCTTCAACCCAACCAAAACCAACTACAAAGGAGGTTGTAGATCAAGAGCTCGAGGAGGAATTAAACGTCTTGCCTCTTACAAGGTCAATTGGACAAACCGTATATGGCTTACTAGAAAATGCGGGGCAAGAAGGAATTATATATAAGGTTAATTATTTGTCATCTACGAACCTGTGCTGTGACAAACCTGACATGTTTGAGGCAATCAACAGACTCTGTGCCACAAACTCAATGACCTTGAAGCTCGAACAGCAGAGCAAATTTTAACCAGAATGGAGCGTGAACAAGGTCCTTCGCATCTATCTGGCGTCAAAGTATCCAGTGTGCTAGAGACACTCGGTCGAGAAAAGCGAGTGAGATGGTTCAGTGCCCAAGGTTTGAAGACAAAGTGTGAAGCCTCTGGCATCATGCTAGCTGCTGACGACGAGGACGCACGAAATTCGAACCGTGGCGGATTCATAGACATTAATCCTTCAACGCTTCCTGGAAAGTTTTATGAAAACGCCGCTCAGCTATACAGCCAAACGGTCCCAGAACCGAAAGGCAATTGGGGAAAACAGACGAAGAAAGCCAGTCGGGCCCCGGCAGTGGCACGTCGAGGCAAATCTTCTCAACGGGCGGGCGGTTTGGAGAGGAATTCTTCGCAGGCAACAAAAGGTGCGGGAAAGGGTAAGCAAAGCAAAAATCCATCCTGTCGGCCCATAAGTAATTCTGTATGTCTGACGTTTCTTGAATCAGATTCTGCTCCCGAGGCACACACGACAGATGTACCTGATGGCTCGAGTGGTAGTGTTCCCACCAAGCGCGTAATTCCCGAGAGCTCCTCTGTGGCAAAGCCGAGGAAGCGTTCAAAGCTTGGGCCTGATTCAGGTCCATCTAGTATGGTGGCCGAGCCATCACCGTCCGAAACACCTGTAGAGCACACCGAGCCGGAAGCGGCTCAGTTACCTCCTCAACCTGGTGCTTCAGCTTCATCCCAACCTTCCAATGGACCTCTTCCCGAAAATTCCCCACCATCTAATACAGAGCACAACGAGTCAGAGGCCCCCAACGCGCCGCCAGCCGCTGATATCCCAGGTAACTACTGTCCACTCCTGTATTTTCTACAAACCAACTGATCATCTGATACATTCTGGACAAACATAGGTTACATACTCAAAGCACGTGGTGCTCGTCAAAACCTGACCTCGCTTCACCGTGAATATCACTTACTTGAAGCCATCAAATTTGCAGGCGGGATAGTGGAAAAGACCAATGAGTTGGCCAAAGCCGTTCGAGACCTCGTTGATCGAGCGGATCAAGATCATGTGGTCAGTTTGATGGATAGTCGAACATTGAACTGTGCTCTCCATGGTCTCGAAACAAGGAAGGAAATCAAATTAACTACAGTGTTAGTGACCGATGCGCTGGGTGCTTCTTGCCACCGGAAGATCATATACCTACCTAGTATCCCATTAGATGGTCCGGAAATGAGAAAGTGGTTAGATGATATGAAAGTGCGATTCAAAACACTCGACAAAGCAACTGAAGCACGTGTACGTCAGCACAAAGATTTCGCCTCTCCAGTACATCGCCTACCTCCGAGATCAACCATCGACCCTTCACCTTTGCCTAACGCAATAGGTGTCAATGATGAGGCTCTTCACGCTGCATTTTTAAACCAATGGCGATGCTTGTCCCAGCTCTACGGATTTGTTTTGGGCAAGGCCGCTCGGGCAAAAATTCTCCATTTGCATATTTTAAAGTCATTCAATGACTCCAGTCGAGCCTCGTCTTCAAAATTAACAATCAAATCTGGTCATCGAGTTTTCTCCTCTGGATTCCTTTTCCAAGAACTACCGGTCGGTGTGTTTGCCAAATTAGTCCCAATCATGGCAAAGAGCGAAGAATTCGAAAAATTCCGTGACACGCCCGGGGCTATGGAAATGCCAATGAGCAACACTCCGCTAGCAATCAGGCGACTATTCCAAATAGGAAACCAATTCTCGCGCGTCAAAGTCTACCAAATAGTCGAAGTTCTGTACTATCTGAAGCTAATAGTGCCATTGCAGAAGAGCTCAGACGTCTCCGAGTATTATCGCATCGCAGAAAACGGAGAGGCATCTTATTTTTCTCCTTGCCAGATGTGCACAAGTGTTGGGCTGTTTTGTCTAGTGAATGAAGGCCATGTACATGGTTTTAATCAACGGTCTCAAAACCCACCACCTGTACTAGCCAAATGGCCACTGAAAGATGAGCACGATGGTCAACTTTATTGGGAAGAACTGAAACGGGCTTCAATACCAAACCCTGATGCACCTCCGACTACAAATGCCGTCGAATCGGTCGGAGACGACAAACTGTTCAGCGGGCCTCCGAAAATCTTACAGATGCTAACCGACCAATCGAAGTGGCGGGATGGTATCCAACTGACGCCTACGCAGCGAGAATATATAGTCAGAATCGACAGACAGACCAGTTTGACCCATGACCTCGAGACAGATGATGAAATGGTTTCTAAAATCGCACATATATTGGTCACCGTTCCCGAGGCTGTGCGACAAGCAATACGAACTTATAGAGAGGCAGCGGCGTTGGCCCGTGCTAAGAAAGCTCAGAAAGCCCTCAACCAGCCACCCAAAAAAAGGATGAAAAAACGGGCACCGGAGGTCGATGCCGAGAAATTGAAATCCGCACAGGAGAAGGCTGCGAGAGTACTATCTGACAAGGCTAAAAACGCTCTGAAGCAGAAAGAAGGGGATTGGAATTCGATCATTAAGCGGTTCAAAACGCAATCCGGCATCACGGAAATTGACGAAGTGGTGCTAAAAGATTTGCATACATTATTCACCACGAATAATGGGGGTATCAATGCCAATCAACTCGAGAACGAATTGGTGACATGGCTCAAACGGAAGAAAGCTGCAGAGGAAGCTAATTCAAGGGAAGTCGACAAGGGTAGTGAATTAGTAGTCGAAATAGAAAACAGTATCGGTTCATCAAAGCGCGACTTGTTACCTGCCCTGCCTTCAGCAAAGGCCAAGCGTATCACAATCTTAAAATCGAATGCCAAACCTCGAAGATTGAAACCCAAAGAAGCACCCCAACTGCGCGTGCTTCCAGACAAACCTAAAAAGATCAGTGCCGTTGCAGCTAATGCCATTCGGCCACAGCAAAACGTGGAGATAGGGCTACGACCCTCACCTTGTCGTAAGTTTCAATTCAGCTGGTCCCGCTCATGAATTCTCGATCCCTGAACCCAGGACTGATGGTGCACTTTATTCTCAATTATTCCAGTGGTCAAGCCCGGTCAGCGGACCCGTATAGAATGGGATGATACTCTCGACGATTTTTTGCAGGACATGGTTGCGATCATGAGAGCAAGGGCGTTTGCGACTTGTGCTCATGTTTTACCTTGGCCTATCACCCTCGCATTGTTCAAAGGGGCTCGGACCCACCTTCTCAGAAACCGACACGCAAAACTAGAACGCGACCCGAAAGAGAAGAAATATCTCGACCTTCTCACTGAAGCGTGGACGCAAGTGTACTTCGATAATCGCGGAAAGGTACCAGAATTGGCAGACCCAACGCCCCGAGTCCCTGCTGCATTTGATGGGGGGCCTGCATTGGACTACCTTCGGTCTAATATTGATAAAGCTTATCTACGATCCCAAGTCAACATCTCAGAACAAGACGAAGAAAAGTTCCCTGGACATCCCTTGCCCCGTACATATGATGGACTTCGATCTAATTACAAAGTCAAAAGGATGGTTGTCTCGCGACGTTCAGAACGATGGGATGAATTCCACTCGTTCTCAAATTCGGTCGTCCGTGAGATGAACGTGATCACCGAGGCGTTCACGGCATCGTGGCCAAATGGAATTGTATCTAAGGCGAAACGTTCAGTACCACATCGAGTACTTCGAGCGTGTGAGGCTATCAAAGTAAGTTATTGTTCATTCTATCTTGATGAGATGAATTTTGCGGCCATCAGCTTTACTGACACATACGGAACATTTCAAGCTCCTCACCTCAACGCCTATCAAAACATACTCTGAACCTGTTGCTGCGGCGGTACTATCACACTATACCGATGATTTGCTGGTCCGTGCTACGGACTACCTTTGCCTGAAAGGTGTTATAGCTATCGGAGGTAAATTGCATTACAAGAAACGACTCCCTGGCCGTAGCTACTGTTACACAGACAAGTGAGCACCTTCTTGAACAGATCACAAATCCCATTTGTACCAAAATTTGACATGGGATTTTTCGTCAACAGATATATATCGAACCCTGATATCAGAGCTTTACAAGGCCCCAGGAATAGCTGTCTAGAACGTCTGCGAAGTGACTCAGTGTCGAGCTCGAATGGTGAAATGACATGGTCGTTGCTTGCCACTGATACTGAGACTGCTTCATTACTGCATGCTTATTCTCGAGGAGAAGTTAGTGAATTTCCTACCATGACCCCCATTCTACATTCATTCAGGTCATATTTTTACATTCTCTCGATTGAACTTCATACTCAGGTTACGCTCCAAATAGCCCACAATCCAAATCGCTCGAAAATTTGGGACAGTTCCAACTACTATCGTACCAGAAAACTTGATGATAGTTGCATCGAAGGTGTGGTTAAAGTGATATTTCACGAATCTCTGGCTGAAGAAATTATGCCCTTTGCGAGCTTGCAGCCACCGCTAGATCAATTAGATCTCGTTTACCAATCTGTACTTCAAGCCGGCGCTGAGGGGCTCACACCCCAGGGCTTGATAGTGAGTTAGAAACCCTCAGATCCGATTACATTGTTCCTAATGTAAACTACAATGGACATTGTTTGGCTGATTTTTCGCTATATTCCCGCCTTACAGGACCAACTATCATCTCAGATTTCCAAAGATTCATTGGCCTGCTGTGTCCAAACTCTGACGAAAATGGAACCGCCAAAACTACATTGGACGTGCGATGAGGAAACCGTAATACTATTCTCTTCGGAGTATTTAGACAATTGGGCCGACAAAGTATATGTGAAAGCGCCAACTGATCCTACGAACAAGGACGAGGACGAGAATCAAAAGACTCGAGTCATTCCAAAGGATCCGGGCTATGTTATTCCTCGGTTATGGCTTGATTTGTCGGGGAACGTGGTCGAAGATTTACGGCAGCTTTGTATGGACCGAGTCGAGAGCATGATCCATATGCTTCCGGGATTACCTTATGTAAGGCCCTTGTGCACCATCTCCAAATCACACCAATTGTTCTATGACAAATATGCTGACTCATTGACCTTGATGTAACTTTCCGCAGTGCGAATTGAGAAGACGCACAAAATTGAACCTGAACCCGTTGGAGTTGGATGATATCTTGGAGGAACTGATCCGACTTGGCAAAGTTGTCGATCATGAATATACACCCGGTCATCAGATCAATGCTCGTTGGGTTCGAGGCCTGGATTGCCAGAGTCACTTTTGGACCCCGGCTTGAGATCATCTGTCTTTATTTTTGTGGGGTGTGAATAGATCTGCATAAATCAAAATGATTGCTCTAATACATTTTCAAGACGAATCAAATTTTCAATTATGCCTTATTTATATAATATCTTTGTTTTTAAATTTTTGACCTGATGCCATAATAGAAGTGATGCCTTTGATGTTTTCAGAGCCCATGGTCCAACTAGATGAGAGAAACACAGCTCTGACTGGACGTCCACATAGTGTGCATGCTGACGCTATGAAGAGCTGGTTGAGCTATCTCGGAACTTTCATGTTGCTGATTTATTTCAAGCCATCAACCAAGCAGGCCCCGTGTTGAGCTTAGACATCCTGGACGCAACTGCCGTCATAGTTGTGAGTGTTGACTTGCGGGGATTTGAGTCAGATGTGGGGGCTACCCTACACAGATCATCCTCAAGTTTGGAAACCAAAAGACAGTTGAATTGGACATAACCACTTACATTATACATACCAATTAGAGTTCCCCTTCATTTGAGTACTGAAATTACATCAGATTGTGATTATCATCAGTTGATGTTTTGATTGTGTTTGATCATTTTGGCAGGAATTTACAAATCAAGCTTGATCCAATATTATTCATCTTGAGAAATTTTGCAGCATTTAGATTATTGAAGAGGGGGGATGGATTGAGGAAAACAGTGGGGTTTTTCGTTTGTTTGAATTCAGTCTTGGGGCCTTTTTTTCGAGTGAGTCAACTGGTGTTGGGTTCAACTTGGCAGGCGACCTTGACGATGGCCTTGGAGATTGACAAGGTTGTTGTTATGTTGAGTCCGCTCAACCAATCCACATGCCGATGTTGAAATTAGAGAACGGTCAAGACAAGGGCGTAACGCCGGCCGGTGGCCACGCTATGTATAATAAGTTTATCCCACACCCGATGCCTAAACAAATGTGCGCATCATTTACCTATTTTGTACCAAGTTCCAGTTGAACTCAACTCTCCCAATGTGAGCAACAGGATCGGCAAGTTGTTATCGGAGTCGAAGTCTTGGCGGACATTGATATGTCCCCCAACTTAATACGAAGTTCCTCGTCTTCCGAGGGGCGGGAGGGGACGCTGTCCCGCAAGAAAGCGCTAAAAAATTATGCCGTCTTCGGATCCATTCCGAAGTGTGTATGTAATGCCGTCTTCGGATCCATTCGTAAGTGCTGGGTCTTTTCCATCCGCAAGCCACTCCTGCGATCGATGTGAGCATAAATATTGAGGGAAAAAAAACAGCCTCACTGACCTCTCTCGGGATAAATACATCGTGCCCCGGACCTCTCACGGCGTCCTTTTCGTGCCCCCCCCTTGAGTCCTTTCATCCGTCTAGGCGCTTGTCCGACAGCATCCGCTTATCAGATGACAATGATTGCCAGACCGCTCCAGTATGACACCGAGCCGCATAAGGACAACCCTAGATCTCGCGAAAACTTGGCTGTAAACGTGGATATCTTACCATTTGAAGAGAAGAAAGAGGACGATGGCATGTCATCGAATGGCTCCGCGGATGCGTCGGCACAAGTTCAAAGGAAACTGAAGCAACGTCATATTTCGATGATTGCGGTGGCGGGTGAGCGAACCAGAGAACATTACCTGGAGTGGGTTGAGTAACTCAATCATGGATTTACCTTTACATTTTACAGGCACAATAGGCACGGGTTTGTTTCTAGGAAGTGGCCAGTCGCTTCGCCAAGCCGGTCCTATTGGTACTCTACTCGGCTATATCCTGATGGGTACACATGACTTCACTCACCTTGAGCATTCTTGCAAGCAAGACTTGCAACAGTTTAGCTTACTGACTATCTTACTATGTCAATGATGTCCAGGGGCTGTCGTATTCAGCATGCAAGTCGCATTGGTAAGAGAGTTTCCGGTGCCAGGTTTCTGGAAAGATCAGTGGCAGCTGATGTTCGGTTTATCATCAGGGTGAAATGGTGACAATGTTTCCAGGTCAATTAACTTCAATTAGAAACAACAAAAAACAGACATAGAAAAACCTTCAAATTTTTCGATCACATCGACGGTATATACACATAGAGTTAACGCTGGCAATTGGTCTCATCTATTTGTAAAAAGTGACCGGCGCGATTCCGCATTATGCTGAGCGATTCTTCGATCCGGCGTTGGGTTTTGCAGGTATGTAGTATTATTATTCCTAGTGGAACTTTCCTTATTTGAGAACCCACGCAAGTTTCTTGGTATTGACGTTTTTCTGGTTTGATGTTTGATGTAAAATCTGGTCAAGTTGGTGTTAACATGTGGTAAGATCCGATTACTTTTGCATTCAACTTCAAGCCATTTATCGAACGGTGATATTCAAAAGCTTTCGGATATTGATCCTCTGCTACTTGGTCCGCTTGTTATAATGCCCTCTAGTTTCGGGAACATTATTTCCCTTGCTGCCGAAATAACCGGTATGTTGACTGAATTCATGATTGATCTTTTGAATCGCAACAAATTTAATCACAAGCCCAAACAAAAAAAACACACATACCTGACTTGGCGTTAAACCTCTGGTTGGTATCTAGCGGCAGCGATTTTGGTCGAGTACTGGGATGCTACTACGCCCTCATGGGTTTACATTACAATCGTCGGTAGATTCTAAGACAAATCATATACATGAACTGCCTCTCAGAATATGTTTTTCGAACTCGTCTGTTTTCCACTTGGTCATCTGCAGTTTCTAGTCACCATTTGTGCAATCAATCTTACCGGTGTGCGATGGTATGGCGAAGTAAGTTAAAAGACTTCTGCTCAAACAAATTTGTCGAGCCCATTCATCACTCACATCTGGCTTCTACTTTGAAATAGGCTGAATTCATTTTTTGTGAGTTTCAAACGCCTTCAGAAAGTCACCTTTATCCGCTTGGTTCTCACAATCAAGATCCAAACGATGTGATCCTATTACCAAGCTGCCATCAAGTTGTCGGTCATCTTGATATTGATAATACTGGGAATCGTGCTAGACTTAGGTTTGTTGCCTTGGTTTATCTCATGCAAATGATTCGATGATCTGATTTTGCTTTGGGAAAACTTCTTTGATCTACTGATCTCTAGGCGGCGGGCCAACGCACGATCGGATTGGGTTCCGGTGAGATTCTAGGAAATTGATCTCTTTGGATTTTGAATGGGTTGGTTGACCTTTTAGGGTCTATGTGACCCTGGAAAGATATTGGCTAGATCCCGGTCCGTTTTCCCAGTTGCACGGCATCCTGGGACCGGTTGGCAGATTTCTGGGATTTTGGACGGTATTTATTCAAGCAGCGTGAGCTTCTTTCTGATTCGTCTGGGTGATTCAACCAGAATAATAACTTGAAGACAATTTTTTTAAAATTACAGTTATAGCTACTTGGGTGTTGAGGCAGTAGCCATCATAGCTGGTGAGGCTGAGAATCCTCGCAAGACCATACCGAAGGCCATCAAGAGGGTTTTCTTTAGGTACAGATTCTCGTATTATATGCTAAACAGAGAGAGTTGATTTTTTCTAACGATGTTTCCTGCCTTGCGGGAAATTTATCATTCTCCAGGATATTGATATTTTACATCGGTGGAGTTACTGTTGCTGGACTTTTGGTTCCTTCTAATTCCCCCCGATTAGCTTCTGTTAGAGGACATGGAACTGCCCAGGCTTCCCCCTTTGTGATTGCAATCAACAATGGTGGGATTAGTGTTCTACCTGACATCGTCAATGCGGTTATTTTACTTTCGGCCTATTCAACTGGTAACACGGCTTTATGTGAGCCGACTTGGGGGTGAACTGTGAAAGCTGCTTCCACTTGATCTCATACATATGTTGTCGGATTATATTTTTTAGATTGCGGCAGCCGAATCCTCCATGGACTGGCATGTCGGAACATGGCTCCGTCTTTCTTCAAAAGATGCACGAAATCTGGCCTGCCTATCTTTGCCCTCATTCCAACAGCAACTGGTGGACTGCTAGCCTTTTTAAGGCTCAATCACAGTGGCGCAACCGTATTTCACTGGCTCACTAGAATGTCTGCAGTCACTGGACTTTGCACTTGGTTATCGGTCTTGGTGGTACGGATACTTAAATTCACCTTACCATGCATACCTCTACTAATTAAGATCTATGTATTCCCTTATATAGTCCTACCTCCAATTTTACCGCGGAATGAAGTATCATGGGATTTGCCGGAACACGATACCCTACAAATCTCCCTTCCAACCATACCTGACATACTTTGGCTTATTGATGGTCATCCTAGTTATCTTCTTCAGTGGATTCGAGGTTTTCCTGAAGGATAATTGGTCAGTTTTCAGAGCTCTTTTTCATTATGCACGGGTAGCTAGAATGGTTGGCCACTGCTTCTCAAAACTTGAATCCTCCACACTGACTCCGTTAACAACAGGTCAACCTCCAACTTCGTAACAAATTATATCACCCTTGTGATTTACATCCTATTATTTATTTATTGGAAAGTCACAAAGCGAGGCAAACTGGTAAGGATCCAAGAGATGGATCTCATAGCCGGTACCAAGCACTTCGAGCTCATGGATGCGCACTATCAGGAGAATATCAAGATACCAAGGACCCGACTACAGAAATTATGGGACTGGGTTTGTCACACTTTTTCTGGCAGCAAGCCATCAGTAACTGAGACGGCAAGCTTTCTTTTTTACTTACTTGGATTCTGTTTGATAACTTTAGCTTCTATAAATGATTTAACAAGATGAATACCATTTGATACCCAACCATCAAGCTGGAGAATAAATGTAACAGTAAACCAGATTTTAAACAAAAAGAACCTACCACAAAAGTCTTGCTACCAGAAACCAAGACTCTTGCTACCAGAAACCAAGACAACAGAGAATGCACTTGTAATAATGTAGATGAAGATGACTTCTGTTTTGGTAGACTTGAAGGACTGAACTTTTGAAAAACATCAGAATTGAGATATGATTACAATAAGATACAGGCATTTTTCAGCTTGATGAAGTCCTTGAAATGACAGGCTATCTGTCAAGGTTGAGCAGCAGATCCTCATGAAGTGATTGGCTGTGTTGATAAGATCAAGTGAAGTAAATATCATAACAATCACCAGAAATATACAGACCAAGAGTTTCAGTAACAACTTACATGGCCCAACAACCGGAAGACTTAAAGTTACAGATGCCTGAAATGGCTTGTTTTAGAGATTAGAATGGATTAGCTGCTGAAAATCTACTCTTAATTACTTTTACACCAGCAAATTAAAACGGTTTATGGACTTCCTTCTACTATAAAAATGAACAACCTTCAGGATCATGGGAAGTCTCCCAAAGCTCTACTTCCTCGCAGTGATCCCCAACTCTCTTTGGAGTATGTAAGTAAGTAAATCTTGAATCAATACACTGACCAATAACCAAGACACATACATAGTGCATCCAAAACCCATGACTGGGTATCACACCCCAAAAACCCCAAAGAAAGGAATCTCCCCAAAAAACAAGCAGATCGTGGTTTATTTCTTTCCACATATTTGATCCATCAAAAAAAAGGAAGGGAATGTATTAAATGAAAAAGAATCAATCCATTATTTTTGTGGTGGGTTTTTGTGGAGAACTTGTGGGGTGTGCAATTTCTACTACTACTACTGATACTACTACTACTACTACAGAAAAAAAAGAAAGAAAGAAGATCAGAGGTCCCTGGGAAGTCAATATTTATCTATTCACATAACAAAACAAAAAATGAATTTTGTGTATATATTTATGTATAGTTAATCAATTCAATTCTTTCCCTTGACATACATTGTGACACATTTACATCCAAAAAAAACCCTGTTATGTGTTTTCAAAGACTTCCAACCTATCTTATCTTATTTTTACTGATAACAAGTATGTTTCAGCTTTTTTTTTTTTTTTTTTGGAAAAAAAAGAGTATAAGAAGAAGAAGAGGAAAACTAAAAAAAACTAAACTATGTACTAAAGAAAAGAAAATGAAAAAACAAACAATCCAATGAAAAAAAAAAAAAAAAAAAACCGACTATAAAAGAAGCAAAACCCTTTGAAGAGAGAGAGAGAGAGGAACAAAACGACGAGAAGGAAAAGAGGAAAAAGAAACGAAAAAATAGTTTATCCAAAAACCAAGAAGTCCGGTGAGGTGGGGGGGGGGAATGCGATATCGACCTATGAACATATATAACGGTTATATAGAGATATATAGAATATGGACACAGATAGAGACGAGAGGAAGCGCGAGGGAGGGAAGGAGGGAGAGGAGGATTGGAGGAGGGAGACTAATCCATGGACATGCGATAATGCTGATTTTTGAGTTGGATCATTTCATTGCGACTGGGCCGACGGGGATGATTGTCGTCAATGACGGTGATCTGATCTGGACCCAGGTCTTCCTCGGTCCCTCCGCGCCCGGTCAAGGTCATTCGACTCTGGCGATCGGCCTTCGTCTTGCTCTGGATCCCCGTCTTGGCGGTCCCGTTGGCCCCCTTGCCCTGTCCATGTGCCCCCCTCTCGCTCCAGAACTTCGTCCATATTGATCCGTTGAGCACTACTCATCAAGGGTGTGTTAGCCTCAGTGAGACATTATTTGATGAGTGGTGAGAGCTGTGGCTTACCTGCTGGTGCCTCTAAAAGCCCCTTCCCGAAATTCTGGTAACATAGTATAGACACAATACCCGTAGCAAACAGCAATGCGATGGTGAGGACGGAGAAGATCGTCAGGGATCGGACGGCCGCCGAAATCGAATCATTGTCATACAGTCTGATCAATTTGAAGATGAAATAAACCTAATCAAATACAATGGGTCAATTAACTTCATGAACTGAACGGCTCTGTTTGACCTGGGCAGGGGAATTGGGTTCTTACAGTCGCTCCGGTCCAACAAACATAGTAAATCCCCATCATCCATCTGATCTCCTTACTGACTGCGAATCCGCCTAGCATACTGGAACAGACATATCAAAGATGGGCGCGGGCAGATCAGTGAAATACGGACTTCATTCGCCACAACTCTACTATTATGACTTACACGACCCCCAAACTAAATGGTAAAGCGCTGAACCCAAAACAAATGGAGTCAGATTAGTAAGAAGAAATAAGAAAGAACAAGAGCGAGAGAGAATGGAAGGTACCAAATAGTGAGGATGCGTTCGGAGGATGTCATGCTAGAGGCCAGCATCAAAAACTGCAGACTCAGGCCGATGAAGAAGAACAGGGCGAACTTCTGCAACATGTGGAAGAGGTACTTCTTTTGCAGGATCCGTTTGAGCCCGAGATCAGCGCCGATTAATTTGAAGATCTCCCAGCCTGTGTTCGATTTGAGAAAAAAGGGCCATGTCAATTTCTGAATTATGTTGTTTTGTCTTTGTTTGGGGAAGAGTGTAAATGATGTTTACCAAATTCTTTATAGATCAGCCATGTCAGATAAGCCATCAACATCGACACAATTCCTCCAATCACCGGGATCGCAATGATCCTGACCGCGATCTCTCCATACAGGTATTGGACGCCATAGCAGCTGAGATACTAGATCCGACACCATCGGGTTAGGTTTTGGTTTTTCGTGAATGAATGACTGTTGAAGAGAGAAAAGAATCGAACCATGTTGCATGAAGTGCCTTCCCGGGCTCCGTTCCAGCTCACCGCACCACCAGGGTTATGGAGAGCTCGTTGGATTTGAGTGGGCAAGACCTACATTAAAAGTAAGACACCCGATCAATTTTGTGCGATTTTTGATGATTGATTAGGAGAGGGGGGGGGGGATGGAGGAGACTGACTGCACCATAGACGGCCATGGAGGTGTTGAAGAAACAGAGGGCAATCAGTTGGACGACGTTCTTGTTCAGTAGTAAGTCAATCGTCTGATATCAATATGAGCGAGAATAAACTGTCAATTGTGAGTTCGTTTTTGATAGTCTAAGGGATGATTTTGACTGACTGACCATGAGGATGAGGAAGATATTGGCGATGATGAAGATAGCCTGGTAAGAAAGGGAACCGAATGAGTGTTGTTTTGAGACAGAGATGGATATAGATTGAAGCATACGAGATAGGTGGAGATAGTCCTGAGTTGGGGGTTAGCGAACTGGATTTCCTTTTCGATCTTGGCCACCGTAGTGGAGAGGATGGAGATGACTGCGATCGATTGTAGGGCGAGGAGGGCGAGGAGGGCGTACTGGACGGTGGAGAATCTGAAGCGGTCGTACCATCGTTTCTGCTGGCTCAGACTTCGTGAGGATGGGGTTGAGGAGGGTTGCAGGATGGGAGTTGGGTTATTGGGCTGGATCGTTGGTGTTGGTTGTTTGGAGTGATTGGTATGTTCGATTGATGGTTGGTGTTGTTGGTTGAGATAGTTGATGGGCGTTGTTAGTCTTGAGTCTTGTTGTTGTTGTTGGTTCATTGGGTGTTGATGGTTCTGGTTTGAGTAGTATTCAGTTGTTGTTGTTGTTGTTGTGTTCATCTTCTTTTGCGTACCCTGGCATCTGCAGTGGCCTAGTGGTCAGGAGGCGGGATGTTATGGCCAAAACCAGCTGCTGTGCGGCTGTGTTTGTTGAGTGTAGTGCCCCACTTTTAACAGAAGATGTCACAGCTTGGGTTGGAGAGTGTATGTATGCAGATGTAACAGGCACAACCAACCGAGGAACACCGGCACTCTCCCAACGAATCAACCCTTCAGTGAGACGATCAGCACTTGGCACGACGACAGTCCTACTTGTACGGATCAAGACATCAACTCCGGAATGTGGGCTTTGTTTGGGAGACAACAGCAGCTATGTACCTGAAAGCTGGAAGCATGTGAACCGACGAAAGGAAACCCCAAGACGAACGAACATAAAACCCGGGACTGTCGACCCGCAAGACGCTGGTTACGAGCACACTTGGTTGCACCGATTATCCCGACGCCAAGAATTCATCTCGTTCTCAACCAGAGATCCTCGCCCAAGTTTATTCCCACAGATTCACACATGCACAAGCTAAAAACTCGACTCCGTTGCTGGCCGGGTCTCCATGGTAATCCGCCTTCACGGTCACCAACAAACTCTGTCACTATGCAGTAACTACATATGATACTGCGTCCCCCCACTACAAAAAAACCAATGTCTTTAAGTGGACACATCACCAGCAAAGTGATGTTGCTTTACGACCCCAGGAACCCCCCCCTCCCCTAATAGGGGGATCACAATTGAACTCAAAGGTCATTTTTAGGCAGCAATTATAAACCGCTTTTTTTTTTTTTTTGAGTTTTTTTTTAAAAACTTTTGACTTTGTTTTTTTTTATGTTTTTAATTTGAAATGATACTCAAAAACAACTCAAAAAAATCTCAAACAACATGGAATTTGATGAAAAACAGGAATTATAATTGAAAGCAGAACCAGAACTGTAGAAAAAATGTAAGACAAAAGGTTAACAAACAATGAAGTGTGAATAGAAAATAATTTGAACAAGAAGAAATAAAAGTTGACAATGAGATTTACCACGAGAAGTGTTAGCTTTTGAGTTAGACAGAACTGAAAGACTGAAGTAGATTAGATCAAAGAGAGAAAAATAGTAGACACTGTTTCAGACAGAGAATAAAAGAAAAGAGAAAGGTTAATGATGTTTTGCCGAGTGTCGGAGAAACGAGGACGTTTTTTCTCACCAAATTGGCAAGAGCCAAATGAGAATTTCGACGGAGAGAGTTGGTGGAATTAGAATCAGTGGCGGTTGAGAATCTGGGATGAAATTGAGTCGTCGCCGATGTGATTGGACAAGAAGAGAGACAAGGGATAGAAGGTAGAGAAAAAGAGAAGAGAAGAAACGAAGTCGAATGGTGATGTGGAAGGGAATTTTTGATGATGGTGAGGGAGAGGTTCGAATAGTAGCCGAGCAGTAAGAGAAGTTGTGAGTTGAGGTCGATGATGAGATGTCGTAGACTGCTGGGGGAGAGGGAGTCGAACTGAGAGAGACGAGCCTTCATTTTATACTCGATTGATGACGGGTTGGACTTGTGGTTGATGGATTTTGGTTAGGTCTCGAGGGGAGCAATGTATCGGAGGAGATCGGAGGAGGACGGAGGAGAGAGACAACGGTGTTTGATGGCGTGGAAACGGAGGCGTTTTAGGAAGAAGGGACGAAGATAGAGAGAGAAAAGAAACAGGACACGAGAGGCAGAGAGATGAGAAAGAAAAGGGAGCGGAGAGCGCAGAGCGGAGAGCGGAGAGCGGAGAAATTCCAACACCCCCCTCAATTTGGTGAGAAAAGAACTAGAAAACAGCGTTCTTTGAGGCGTTGGAGTGATTCATGGTTGCTTGCTTTGGTGAGTGCATCTGCAACCATTTCTTCGGAGGGAATGAGTTTGACATTGATCTGATTTGAGGTCTTGAGATCCCTAAGCCATTTTCCCTTGATGTCGAGGTGTTTTGTTTTCGAGTTTGATCCGAAGTTCTTGATTTTTTCAACAAGGCCTTGATTGTCGACGTGAAAGTCCGTTGGGTTGAGTTTTTCTTTCCAGAGTTCTTCCACTAGATATGTAATCCATTGATTTTCTTGGGCGCCGTCTGAGAGAGCGTTCATTTCGGCTTCGGTCGAGGAAAGAGTTATATTCTTTTGTTTTTTACTGCTCCATGATACGGGACAGGATTTCCAAAAACATATCGTCCCACTTCGAGATAATCTTGTTTCTAGATCATCAGCCCACGTGGCATCATTGTAGTATTCCAGAGATTTTGATTGGTCAGATGAGTCGGGAGTGAGATTGAGACTGAGTTTTGATGTTCCAGCAAGATATTTCCAACAATGAATTACTTCCTTCCAATGAGTGATTCCAGGGGCGTGATTGAAGCTTGAAAGGATAGAGACAGCTGGAGCCAGATCTGGACGTGTTCGACAGGCTAGAAAGTTAAGGATACCGGTGAATGATCGATAGTTTATGTTCAATTTCTCAAATTCAGCCTTCTCTTCTTTTGTTGCTTGTTTCAATTGAACTGCCACAGAGAGCGGTGTCTTGACTGATCTGCATTCCGTGAGTTGGAGCATTTCCAGCCCTTTTTCAATTAACTTGGGTTGAGATAATTTGATTGATCCCTCTTCGAGACGAACTTCCATTCCCAAGAGAGAATCCGGATCGTGAGCTGTAGAGTTCGGAAATTGATTCATGAACAGGGTTTCGAAGGTTTCAACATTTCCGACAACAATTAAATCATCAACGTGAAAGAAAATGAAGGAGCTTCGATCTTCGTGAATATATAGACATGGATCCGAAGTTGATTGTCGATAGTTGATTGATTCGAACCACTGGGTCAACGTGTTGTACCAGTTGGCTGGGGCTTGTTTCAGTCCATAAAGGGATTTTTTGAGTTTCAAGAACGGAGCCTTCCTGTCTGATCCTTCAGGAGTCTTGATATATACTTCTTCATTCAACGGTGCGTATAGAAAAGCGCTCTTCACGTCGAATTGTCTGAGAGAGAGTTTCTTGTCGACAGCAAACATTAGCAGCATGAGCAGAGTTGTAAATTTTCCTGTAGGTGCAAATGTATTCCCGCAGTCTTCAGGTAGTTGAGCAAATCCCTGAATACAAAGCCGAGCCTTCTTGCGTTCTTGAGAGGATAGAGTGGCCGGTTTGGTCTTGAAGATCCAGAGAGTGTGTAGGAATGATTCAGGGCGATTCCACATGTCGTCCCAAACTTCGTGTCCTTCAATATTGCTTAATTCTTCATTCGTTGCTTCTTTCCATTTATCTTTATCAGAAGACGTCATGGCTTTCTTGAATGATGAGGGATCTGACGACAGGTATGAGTATTTTGAAGGTTTCACTTTCGAGGTTCGATCACGCAATTTTCTGGGAGTTGTTGATTTAGGAACAAGATCGTTTTCAATATCGTCATCGCTGCTATCAGAAGAGTCCGAGGAGGAGTCAGAGCTAGAATCCGATTCAATTTCAATGGGTTTTTGAACCGTTATGACCTCATCGTCTGAATCTATTTCTTCAATCGGAGTGATCGAGTCATCTTCTGTATCAGAGAGTTCTATAAGTTGGGTGTTCTCCACGATGATTTCAAAGTCTTCATCTTCATCTTCATTTGATTTCTTCATTTGATCTAGAAATCGAACACTCTTCGTTTCGATGATTTTACCAGTGTCACTGAGAATCTTATAGGATTGAATTTCGTCATCGTATCCGAGAAGAGTTCCCAATTCTCCTTTGGGCATGAGTTTTGAGGACGATTTTTGAGGAAGAATGAGATAGGAAACCCTGTTGCCAATAGGTCGGAAGAAATCAATGGAGATTGAGCGATTCTTGAACAATTCAAATGGAGACTTTTTGCTTCTGTGAGCTGGGATTTGATTGAGTGTAAGAGTGCTGACCTTGACGATGTCGCTCCAGTATCGATGTGAGAATCCGGAGTCTTTCAAGATTGTTCGAAGAGATTCAAGTATTGTCCTGTTGTGACGTTCAGCTAATCCGTTCTGTTGTGGAGTGTAGGGGTCTGAGGTACGAGTCCGAATGAGGTGCTTAATACAGAATTCTTTCATGGTTTTGTTCAAAAATTCTGTCCCTCTATCTGAGTGTAATACGGAAGGATAGTATCCGAACCGTTTGGCTTCAAGATTCAAGGAATCCGAAAGAACGGATGCTACTTCACTTTTAGCTTTGATAGGGATGGCTGAACAGAATCTGGTGTGACTATCGACTACAGTCAAGATATAACGATGGCCTTCTCTAGAACAGGGAGAAATAGGTCCTATCAAGTCTAAATGGATTTCTTCAAAGGGCTTTGAGGCCGGTGGATGCTTGGATTTGAAGGATGCTCGTGTGATTTTTGCCAGCGAACATGCCTCACAAGTTTTTTCATTTTTGAGAGGAATACCAAGTTTCTGTCTCAGTCTATGATAGCTTACATGACCCAAGGATCGGTGAAGATTCTCAGCCGAAGAGAAATGAGATCGATGTTCAATATTCAAGAATGAAAGGCTAGGGAGATTGCAAGTGTAATGACCGTTCATTTTTATTTCTCCATGTTTTAGTATAGAAAAAGAGTTTTTTGAAAATTCAACACTATAATTATCTAGTACCAAACAACGAACAGATAACAGATTGACAACTAGATCGGGCACAAAGAGAACATTATGAAGGATAATCGTTCCGAACTCATTGATGAGTTTGATTGATCCGGAGCCTCTGATTTGAAGTGGATCCTTCCCTGAGCTGGTGTGCACTAATCCTTTTTCTGTTTGATCAAGAGCAAAGAACAGATTAATATTTGAGACCATATGAGCGGATGATCCCGAATCTAGAATGAATTGTGATGATGATTGAGAGAATGACGAGTGAAAACTGCTGACCAAGGATTCCAAGCGATTGTTCTTGTTTTCATTGGTTGGCCTGAGGTGTGGATACAACATCCAGCACTTCGCTTCCGGATGATTGGAAAGGACGTTATGAGCGGTCTTCTTACATTTCTTGGATGCATCGGAATAGAGTGCGATTGGATCGCTCCTTGTACCCGAGCCTCTATTAGCGATTGCTGTTTGATTGTTATTGAACAGCTTGAGATGATCCAGAACAAGATTGCTGGTGAGAGGTTTGTCGGAGTGTGTGATTTGCTGACTGACGTTAGTGAGAGCGGAAGGGAGTTTTTTCAGGAGGATATAAGCTACCAAGTCTTGAGGAATATCAATGCCAATCTCAAAGAGACGGGAGTTGATGGTTCTGACTGAAGTAATGAACGATTGAACATCCGAAATGTTGAAGTTGAGATCGAGAAGTTCGTTGAAGACACGAGCTCGATTTGCTGGTTGAGTCGATGCAAAATATTCAGTGATTGACTTCCAGATTTTTCGAGCATCCTTTTCGTTTTCATGGGTGATAACGTTAGGATGAATTGAAGAGTCAAGTTTTGAAGTGATGATGGTTCTGATGTTTACATCTTGACTGGCGGTGAGTGTGCCGGTGTCCGAAGTGAGAGCGTCACGCAGACCTTGTACGTCCAGCATATTGTCGACGAGGTTTCTCCAGAGAGTGTAGTTGTCGGACGTGAGTTTAGGGATCGCTTCAAGGGCGGTCTTGAGGACAGTGGAGTTGATCTTCTCCATGATGTTGCTTTCTGTGTTCTGTGAGGTGTTCTGGTTGGTGGAGTCGGTTTTGGATGATGCCGGAGTAGACATGATTTGTGAGATTTGAGGTGAGTTGGTTGTTCGAATCGAATTCGACTGTTAATCGTGATGAAAAACAGGAATTATAATTGAAAGCAGAACCAGAACTGTAGAAAAAATGTAAGACAAAAGGTTAACAAACAATGAAGTGTGAATAGAAAATAATTTGAACAAGAAGAAATAAAAGTTGACAATGAGATTTACCACGAGAAGTGTTAGCTTTTGAGTTAGACAGAACTGAAAGACTGAAGTAGATTAGATCAAAGAGAGAAAAATAGTAGACACTGTTTCAGACAGAGAATAAAAGAAAAGAGAAAGGTTAATGATGTTTTGCCGAGTGTCGGAGAAACGAGGACGTTTTTTCTCACCAAATTGGCAAGAGCCAAATGAGAATTTCGACGGAGAGAGTTGGTGGAATTAGAATCAGTGGCGGTTGAGAATCTGGGATGAAATTGAGTCGTCGCCGATGTGATTGGACAAGAAGAGAGACAAGGGATAGAAGGTAGAGAAAAAGAGAAGAGAAGAAACGAAGTCGAATGGTGATGTGGAAGGGAATTTTTGATGATGGTGAGGGAGAGGTTCGAATAGTAGCCAAGCAGTAAGAGAAGTTGTGAGTTGAGGTCGATGATGAGATGTCGTAGACTGCTGGGGGAGAGGGAGTCGAACTGAGAGAGACGAGCCTTCATTTTATACTCGATTGATGACGGGTTGGACTTGTGGTTGATGGATTTTGGTTAGGTCTCGAGGGGAGCAATGTATCGGAGGAGATCGGAGGAGGACGGAGGAGAGAGACGACGATGTTTGATGGCGTGGAAACGGAGGCGTTTTAGGAAGAAGGGACGAAGATAGAGAGAGAAAAGAAACAGGACACGAGAGGCAGAGAGATGAGAAAGAAAAGGGAGCGGAGAGCGCAGAGCGGAGAGCGGAGAGCGGAGAAATTCCAACAGAATTACAAACGCGCGGGCCCAATTTTGGGCTATCCTGTCAGTACATAGCCAGATTGCTTATGGATTCAGCCTGTATCAGCCTCATCCTCTGAACCGTGCGACCACAATGCTGCCTCCGCCAATCGACCCCACGACAGTCATCCATCTCGCGGCCCTGTGGAATTGGAACAGACTGCAGCGAACGATCGACCGTCGAGTCTACATCCGAGCCGAACGGGTGGCATTCATCCGCCCCGAGCGCTGGGAGCCATGGAACGACGAGCGGCTACCTCCGGTGCGATTCCTTGAATATTTCAGAATGTCCCGGGCCGATTTTGCATGGCTTTGTGAAGAGCTGCGGGGGACTTTGGACCAGGATCACCTCCGCCGGGGAGCTCCTTTAACCGTCGAGGCGCAAGTTGCGGTAGGCCTGTATCGTTTGGGTCATGGTGCGACATACGTCACCATCTCGCATGTCTTCAACATTGGGAAGGAAACCGCGGACAAAGCGACCGGGCGTTTTGTCAAAGCCGTGCTCAAGATTCTTCGGCTACGGACGATCAGGTAGGTCGAACCTCAGGGGGATCATGTGAGTGGCATCATGCTGACGCAATCGGATTTCAGTTTTCCGGCTTTAGATGCGCACGATGAATGGGACGAGATCAAGGAGTCTTTTGAGAGCCGGCATGGCATTCCGGACGTCGTAGGGGCCATTGATGGAACTCACATCCCTTTGTCCATGCCGCCGGGCGATAGATGGAAGGGCTACATCAATCGCAAGAACTGGCCATCGTTGGTTTTCCAGTGTGTGGTCGACGGTGATGGGAACTTCCGCGATGTGAGCATGAGGTCCCACAGTCCAATTCCACGGCCGATGCTGACATGGGCCGCTCTGTCACAATTAGGTCTTCGGGGGAGGTGCTGGCTCCATCCATGATACACGTGTCTTTCGTCGCTCGGATCTGGGGGTCAGTCTAAACCGAGCTTTGGGCCAGCCGAGTATGATACCAACGGGCTCGCATCTCATCGGCGATGCAGGCTACCCATCAGATGTTAATGTACTTGTCCCCTACCCGTCAATCCTGGCTCCGGAGAACGAATACTTCAATTACATTCAATCAGCCACGCGGATTGTGGTCGAACAGGCGTTTGGCCGACTAAAAAACCGATTCCGCATCCTGCTCACCGCTCAGAGGGCGAACCCCATTCGCGCACGGAACACGACGTTTGTGTGCATGATTCTGCACAATCTACTCAACCGGACCGGCAGCCTCTACTTGCAAGGTTGGGACGAGCGGTCACGGCATGAATTGTGTTTTGGAGAACTCCCGCGGGTCTCCGAACACGACCTAACTCCTCCACCCCCTGGCGAGTCAATGTGGACGAGGAGGGATCGTATACGGGACATGTTGTATACCCCCCGGGGCCACTAGGGCGAAATGAGGGGGGCCTATGTTATAAGAGCTAGTTAAGATCATTGATACATTTGCAAGTATTTATCAAATGTTTGAATCCATTGCTTGTTTTGATCATGTGGGTAATGGGAATGAATTTTGTTCTAGCAATAGACTACTCAGCATACTTTGCAGTAGCAGTCTGGCATAGTGCTCGGGCTGCGCCCACAGTAAGGCCGAGGGCTAGTAGTTCGCGCTCGTTGGACACGATAAAGTGCTCCCACCTTGTGATCCGATGTTGTGCCAATATCTCCCGTGTGTGACGGTCGTTGGGGAGTATGGCCGATTCAGTAAGGAAATCTTCGAGCCGAGTGAGGGCATCTACGGGGGCCGCTAAACAGTTGGCCACATGGGGTGGACTACGGCCACGAGAGCGAGCCTGGTCGAGTTGGTCCTCATCAACGGTGGTCGACGGGGGCATTGGCATGGACTGGCTGGGGTCTGGTTTGATCTCGGGATCGGCAGGGGGGTTGCTCTTCCGCCGGATATGAGGTTGTGGGTCCTCGGTGTCGAAGCCGGCTGGCCGTTTATCCTTCTTGTACAATGGAATGGGTCAGCTGGATTGGCCTACACGCCCGTGGAATCTGGATCTGGATCTTTGGGGCATACCTGCTTGACCGGGTCACCTGCAGGGCCCATGTGTGTTCGGCGGATCCAGAGGTTTTTGGGGTCGTTGTTAGGTGAGTTGCCAATGTCCCCGGCAGCGCGGCGGAGGTCGTCGATCATAGTGTATAATCGAGTTGTGGCGATGGGGTCGGCTTCCGGGATCGGGCTATCAACGACTTGGTGGGAATCTGACATTGTCTATCCTTTGCGACTGTCCGAGCTGCAACTGCTTGGCGCGGCCATCGGCTGGCTCGGTTGCGGACCTCACAAGACTAGGGTTGGGAGGTAACTTCCAGCGTCTTCTGTCTTCCACCAACCGCCGTCTCACTTCCAATCTCACCCACCAGAAGCACCTGAGCGCCAACATGCCGTCACGAACACGCGGGATATCATGGATCAACGATGGGGCCCCCGGGGGAAAGGACAGTCTGTCCTTACTGTTCGAGTGGCTCAAGTCGGGCAATAATTACGCCCGTTGGCAAAGCGGGGACGACAAGATTTCACTCTATCGAGATCTACTTGCGGTATTCATGAGCCATGGGATTACTCATCGCAAGCGATGTGGTATGTATGATAGATTTGATATAAGAACGGCAACTCATGAGTGCTGATGAGTCTGATTTATTCATAGAAGCGAGTTTGCGTATCAGCTGTTTCCAAATGTCATACAACGACGGGAGACGTTTCCTCGCGGCGACTGGGGTGGAGGTTGCAGATGATCCTCTTGTCAAAGGTACATAACATAACAGTGACGCCTGGGCCTATTTTGCTTCATATAGATGTTGACCAGATATATTGCCTTGTTCTTGTCAGATGAACTCATGCGCATCTGCCCACATTTCTTTGAGCTTGATACATTCATGGAAGTTGGTCCGTGCCCCCCCAGCGCCCGACAGATCACCAATTAGGCCTTATACTTATATTCACCTCAAACTACTATTTGACCTTTTTCAATGAATATCTTTGTGTTTGCATGACACCACATCATCCATCATGATAAGATGAGAGCCAAGAAAAGAAAGCGACATGAAGCCGATGAGAGATGAGAGACAGTAATGACATTGAGGATGAAAGAGAAAGGGACATGAAGCCGATCATAGATGAGACGCAAAAAAGACCCCTGAGCCTCATGCAGTGACAGTCATAAACACTATAAAGAAAGATACCAGAGGGATAATATATGAACTCCAGACACCGTCCCCAACCCAGATAATCATGATGAGCCCCCCTTCATGGGCCCTGCCCGCCAGAGCCGCCCGCCCTCGGTGACCCATCAGGCAGCGCAATTGACAGGCCCATGGCCTTAAGCATGGCCATTTCAAAGAGCTGCCGGGATTGCTGCTGTCTTTCCGCTCGCTCCTCTCGTTCGTCCTCGCGTTTCCGCTCCTCGGCCTTCCGCGCAACAGCCTCCTCCCGCTCGCGCTTGCGATCCTCAGCGGCCTCAGTTGCCCGCAGCTGAGCCGCTTGCCGATCCATCTGCATCTGGTGATCGGCCAACTCACGATCCAGCCTGGCCTGTTGACGAAGTAGGTGCCGATCCTCATCGGCCTGCCTGACGGCCTCCGCTCGCTCGGCCTCCTTCTCCTCGGCCCTCTTCGCCGCCGCCTGCAACTCCTGACCTTGAAGTCTCTCCAGACTACGCAACTCCGCCTGTCGTTCCTGACGTTCCTCAGAACGAAGGGTGTCCTGCCGCGTGCGCTCCTCCATACGCTGCTGCCTGTCCTCCGCAGCCCACGCCGCGCTCGCTTCCTGAGCCTTGTGCATCATTACGAGCATGCCAGTCCCTGCGTGATCTTCTTCTTTGGCCTTCTCTTCTGTTCGACCGCGGCGACGAGGTACACTGCCACCTTCGGCTGGTGGCCGGCTGATGAGGGCTTTTGAGGTCGAGGATTTTGCCTTCCCCTTGGAGCCCTTGCGAGCCCCTCCCGGTGTGGAGGCCGGGGTGCCCACGGCGGCCTGGACAGTATGAACGGTAGTGGGTCCCACTGGGGTTGACGCCGACGGAACCGTAGCCTCAGGACGCCGTACGAGCTCTTCTGGCAAATCCGAACCCGAGTCCGAGTCCGCGTCGAGCGCCAGTTCGGCAGGGGTCAGCCCGGCACAAAGGCGCTGATATTTGGTTTGTCTACCCTTCGAGGCGGCTGGAGTCGCCGGGGGGCTGTCGGCCCCGGCGTCATCACTGAATGATGACCCGTCCACCTCTGAAGTCTCTGAAATGACTTCTTCTTGCAGTAGGCTTTCGTAATCTGCATAGGACGACGTCAAACCATCACCCGTCGCGGCTGGGTTATCGCCGTGCATGTCGAGGATCAAATCCCATACCTGAACGAGAGGAAGGGTCAGCACATGCATGCGTCTGGTTTTGAAAATTTCCCCCACGTACCTCTAGTGACACCCCGCCAGCCTCCAAAGCGCTTGATAAACCACCGGCTCCGGATCGGTCAACGACATCCTTCACTCTCTAGTTAGTCCAGTCCAACGGGGTCAGCAGAGCCATTTCCAAGACAAGCAGCTAGAGAAATGAGTTTACCTTCCATTTATCCATGACGGCCCGGTATTTGGCCAGCCGGGTTGCTGTTGAGATGGACTCCAGGAGGGGGAATGCATCTTCCCGGCCAGTATAGGCGGCAAAGTACTTCCCAAACGGAATAAACCCCCCGGTCACACGAGTCTGGCTATGATCCTCTTTCACCATCCTAACATAGTTCAGCAGCTCGAGCGTCTGTTCTTCATTCCACGTTGGACGAGGGGTCGCGCTTGCGGCCTTCTGCGCCTTGATCAACTTATTGGCGGCATTAGTGGCTTGCTTTTGACGTGCATCGGCAGCCTTTTCAGCTTGCATCTGAAACCGTCGTGCACGTTTCTCGGCCGCAACGACCTGGGCAATCCGCATCTCCTCAGGAGATCGCTTCGGTTTCCGAGTTCGTCCCACGCCGGTCGCCGGCCTGATGGTTGCCGCGGGGGGATGCACAGGAGGGAGAGCCGGGTCAACAACCGGAGGTAGTGGGGCCGTGTGGGGATCGTTGATCTGAAGATCAGGCCGGAAGGTGGTAGCAGGCGTTCCTTGTGTGAATTGCACAGACTGCTGCTGAAGATGGGGCGCCTGGGTGCTCGCCTCGTAATTCCCTGACTGGATTCCGGTGTTGGACTGGGGCGCCTGGGTCCTCGCCTCGTAATGTCCCGACTGGATTCCGGTGTTGGCGTGATGAGAGTACGTTTCTGATGCGGTGTGAGTTAGTCGTCCTTGACCCAAGGCTGGCCCACGCGGAACCGAGGCGGCGGTCCGAGTTCCTAGGTTCACGGGGGCAACAGAAAAATTGCCGCCTTGCTGATTGACTGGCGTGTGACCGTACCTGGTGTGATTCAATTCTCCGGGGACGGGATGCTGGGACTGCTGAGTTCCGGCCGTTTCGCTCCAAACGCCGGTGTTTTGGTGATTGAGCCGGCTGTACAGGGGTTGAAAACCGGTTGGATCGTGGTAATGAGAGGTGTGTTCGGGGGGAGGTTCGTCCGGCGTATACAAATTGTCCATTGCTCCTCTGCTGATCGTTGGATGAGCAGGGTACGGTGTCTATCCTGCATGCAACAGGAGTGGCAACACCTGGTCAAAACCTGTCAAAACATATGCCTGTCACCTGTATGAGCATACAGGGTGATACCGCCCATAAGGGCTGTATTGGTCCCATAAGGCCTGTACAGGCGATTGGATAAGAAATTCTTACATATTTCCGTCTTCAAACAACCTCCTGGAGGTTGTTTGAAAGTTGTTTGAGTCAAAAAATAATTAAAAAAAGTTATGAAAATAATTAAAAAAAAACTCAAAAAAAACTCAAAAAAAAAAAAAAAGCGGTTTATAATTGCTGCCTTAATGTGTTTCAGATCATAAACTCATGATAAATTATAAGAAATCATAAAATGTTGCTCATCAACACCTTCAAATCCAACCATGAACTCCCCAGCTGATAGGACGATGCTGTTAGAAAAGTCTGGATTTGAGCAAGAGTTCTATTTATCTGTAACTTATGATCTAGTGTGTATGTTATATGTACCTCTAAGACAAGAGAAAGTTGAAGAGTCAAGATAAAACACAATCTTGAGACCCTGCAAGCCATCTCTGAAAGCCTGTATAAGCTGCATGACAATGGCACCGCTTGCAACACATGTCTTGTGATCTGCCTGCAGATATGCACTGGGCTAAGATTGTGCTGAAGAAGATCACCATGCAACACTGGGTCTCTACTTTACGCTGTGCTATCTGGATTATCTCAGTAATGTAGTGCACTTGATTCCTTCCCTGATACACTAGCATTATCTGTAGTGGTAAATTTTTCTTTGAGCCAGTAATGTAATGGTGAAGTTTTCATCTGTATTGAATGGATAAAGTATGTAATGCATTATCAGATTATCCAGAGGTTAAGCAACCCTAAACACACTTTAAGCAGCATAAAGCTTCACTTTTTGAGATTTGGCCCCAACACATGCCATAAATGCATATATTACCCATATTTATGCTTTTTTTTTCAAAAAAAAAACCCACCAGTTGCTGATAGTGTAATAAGCATGAACAAAAATCCAAGACAAAATGGATAATGTAATGTGCAAATGATTCCCAAACATTATGGGAAAAAAAGTAATGATAATGAGTGGAAACTCACTACTTTATCTTCACACTACCATTACAGGTAAACTACCCAGTGTTGATCATGGGTATGTGTTCATCTAGTTCAAAATATGGGACAAACAGGTTGACATACAATTGCATGTGGCATTCTGCTGTACACAGCTGTCTGCAAACACCAGATGCCTCACTCCGGGGAAAACAGTGTTTGGGCCAGTGGGCCAAACATTACAAAGACCACATTTTTGGGATCTACAGACCATGTAGATTCCATATTTAAAGTGACAAGCTGTTTGGCCCAGTCAATTTTTTGTTTTAATTTCATTTTGCAGGTGGGTCATTTGGACCTGTCACTTAAAACATGCATAAACATGAGGTAGGATGACACCTTTGACCCATGAGTATGGAATGCAAACCCAGACACAGAAGTACACCATCAAAATGCATACTTGGGGGTCCAATCCAATGTCTATGTAATCCCCAACCAACCAACCCAAAAATTCAAGCAAAAAAATCTACTTTTTTGGCCTTGGCCATTTGGAGCCTCCTAAAGCAGCAGAATGCCACACACAACTGTAGAGCTCTGAAGTTTCTGTGAAACTATAAGTGCAAGATGCATCAGGTTTACATTCTGAAAACAGATTTTTGACAGGACATTGTCACAAGGAGGTTTTGAGTAGCAACAAGTAAAGATTACTCTAGTTACCCTAAACCAGCCCATGACCACATCTGGGATAGGAAAACCCATGTCCAAGTGCCCTTAACAAATCTACCACCAGCTAAGGACACAAGCATGAGAAAGTCCAGCAGTCCTAAGGCTATGTTTCCAGGCTATGAAAAAGCTGGAAATTTGCACCCTGGAATCAGGTGAGCAACCTGCTCCTCTGTCCCAAATAGCCTATCCAATTTATATTTTTGCTTGCTTCCCCTATTCCTTCATCACTGCCATTCCTTTAATGGGTCTGCTTCTCCAACTATTCACCATGACATTATAATTATCCTGGTGCAGCTACTCCACTATATTCACCTAGCCTACTCAACTGTTCCACTCTCTGCCATTGTTCAGCCAGCGGTGAAATATTAGACCCAACATTCAGATTAATGCCAACAGATCTGTCACTTGTCTTTTTCCACACCTCGATCAACCTGAAACATGTCAAGAGGACATCACAGACCAATCTCAAGAGTCACTGCTGGAAACAACGCTGCCACAGATACGATACGCTGTGTGTATCATGGAGAATTCTGCAAAGCTGCATGGCCAAAAACCAAATTTGTTGAATCTCATTGCAAATAAAAGCAGATTGGTCAGATAGTTTTTTTTTATTGGGGCTCAGATACATAGTGATACATGGCAGATACGGGCAGATACCGTATCTGTGGCAGCGTTGCTGGAAACCATTGTTGCTTGCACACAAATTTTCCATTATTCATTTCTTGCCTTTGTTGGTAGTTTGGTTAGTTTTTTTTTTTTTGCAGTGTGTACCAAAAACCTTATAACAGCTACCTTCAGGTCAAACTAGATTCACCTCAAGAATTGTTCTACTCCAACTGTCAGAATAAAGAATTCTTCTCTCATAAAATTCTGGCCTTGAAGTGGATCACTCTACTTGTCAAACAAATTTTTGTTAATTTTTCCCCATTGCCAGGAAAATTGCAAACCCAAAAGACTCAACTAATTCATCAGATTGGTGGCCAATTAATCCTCAGGATTTGGATTGATATTGGATGCCAAGTTAATTTTAATGGAAGAATCTGCAGCAGAAGTCACATTCCTCCCCTGTTTCCTTTGCAGGTTGAGGGGTTCCACTACAAAAAACCTCCACAGGTTTGATTTATCAACACTCACGCGATCCCAGTCCACCCGTTCCAAAATACCTCGGACGGCGCCCCTGCAATTTATCAATGATAAAAAAAATACAAACGTCAAACACCCAGAGGGGCGTCTCGTCAGTACTTTCAAACATCGCTTTTCCAGGCTACATAAGCTGGAACGTCTGATGATGTAGTGGGACAGGATGAAGAAGAGCTTGCTAGTGAAAACGTTAGAACCGCCGGGGCATGGGTCATCCAATTACAAGGTGATAAATCTTCGGCTGAGCTGAGAAGCTCTCGGTTCGCGTTCCAGTTCAGAGCGTGTTGACTGCTGCCCTTGAAGTGAGCCAATTCTCCAGAATTAGCTTCCAAGCATGGAAAAAACCTTTCGGGTGTTTTTCATACTCTCGTCTGGAGCTCAAGTCTGCTTGGGCAGTCTGTGGCTGCCATCGACTCAATCACTGGAAGCTACTCAAGCGGGGGTTCGGACTGCTGATAGGTTGAGTGATAGAATCCATATCTCTAGTTCTTGGCCAAGCAACTTAACTGACTCGTTGTGACATCATGACATGTGCAAACTTCAATTAGACTACACGAAGGATCAAACGTACGATCAATGGACTTGAACTTGAATCTCCCTGAGGAGCGTGCTTCAAATACATCGCCTGTGGAGTCGGAACAAGATGCAGAACCACGAGAAATCGATTTCCTTGGTGAGTTGTGTCCACACATCCCCCGCAAAGCAGCTTCTATTTTGCATACTTGAGCATAGCCATTGACCGACGTCATCTCGATAGGTTCTTGGGGAAAGACTAGTTCTAATGAAAGTGGGTCCAACATGAAGAGGCCCTTCCCCCCGTTTTGGGAACAACTTCCGCACAATAGCGAAGAGAACGCCTCCCATTTGCATCGGGGCAAAAAATTCAAACCAACTCAGAGCTTGAGAGCTGTGAATTTCTTCCCGCACCATCATCTGGAGTTTTCAGATTTTCCAGGTCAGTAAATTCTTATAGCTTCTTCAAATGTTCAGGTGGGTAAATTCAGCTAACGTACCTGCGCTGCCGGTAATGTAGATCAAAGGTCGCCCGAAACTGGTGATCTGAGCGATGGAAGGCTACCTTTCTCAGCTATTGCTGATGAATCTGTGACGCACAAAGACCTTCACCCATCTCCTCATTTAGAAAGACCAATACCATCTCTTCCATCAGACGGCACTGGCAAAGGTTACGATACGAGTCAAGAAGATATCCTAGAGAATTCCAATCAAGGCACGCTCGTTGATCTGACAGAGAATTCGGATCAAGGTGCCAATGTTGAAATTTCAAGGGCCAACCTTGAAAGTCATGCAGTCGATCACGTTCATCAGGGCAAGACCTATGAGGCAACCGGAACCGGAGAAACCAGACGACAGGCGCAGTTGAAAGAAGATCAGATAAATCTCAAAAACATCAGCCCTGTTCTCTTGGCCTGGTTGTACAACATCAAAATTGGCCTCACCGATTCACTCCACAAGGAGATAACGGATGATACCGCAAGGGTTATCTCAAACTTCGCTAAATCTCTTGCTTTCAACTTGAATGCATTGATCCATCGAAATCAAAATCCAAGAGAAGATCTTTCGATGGAAGAATGGTCGAGTCATGAATCGAGCCATAATTTTAAAGAATTCGTCCACCTTCTCTGGTCTATAAACTCGAAGTTCATCAGGACCTTCCAACCAATGCAAGAGGATTATATTGACGAGCAGATTGGAGTTCAGAGTTGGCTTCTTGATCTTTTGAAGGAAGTAGGGAAAGCAGACAGTGCCTCCATGCAAATTGAAGAGACCGAGGGCCTTACAAACCTTCTGAAGAAAGCCCTCACTTCAAGTTATTCACCACCAATTTATAGTATATATTATAACCACAACATTTCCTTACCAAGTGGTACAGTTTGCCCGAGTCAAATATTGATGACAGAAGCTGTGTTGAATGTCCTGGCATCTTACTATAAATCAACAAATTTCAGAAAGTGGGAAGCCCTGTTCAGCGAGGACGAAGATTTTGTGAAAGCACTAAATAAAATGATGAGTTGGAATGCGGGTCGTGTTTATGTCATAAGAGCAACAAGTATCATAGAAAGCGAAGATCAGCGTGCAATTTTTCCATGGAAAAATCGTCTTCGCGCGAACTCGAAGTTTACCGCAAGAAATAAAAGAATGCCATTCTTTGGCGGAGGAGGTGATTCTCCCATCGACGGCAAGATTGTTGCCATAGAAAGACCAGCAGACAACCGCAATATTATGATGACTGACTTCAAACCCAAAGACAAATGGTTGTTGGAAGAACATCCCGATAAGCCCTGGGCACTTATTTCGTCAATCGAAACTTACTACAACAAGTTTGTGACGGGAAGCCACGACCCTCCCTATTATGGCCACATCTTCAGAAAATTACGGTCTGTTGGACAAGAAAGCGGAGAACGTACCAGCAATTTGCGGAGTATACACGATGCAATATCCCAACATGAGTTTTATTCTAATGCAAAAAGGCTGCTCCAATTGATTTGGAAGATCAATTCAAGATTTGTTGAGAGTCTTGGCTACAGTGCCAATGGTCATATTTTTCATCAAGAGCAGCATGATCTGGAGATTGAATTTTTTCAATTGATGACATTATCAAAACCCCCTCAATCCCCAAACCTCTACTCGCAATCGCCCACCATTGAAAACTCGGCATTTGTGCAGCAGAAGCTGATTGAAGCCTTACGTTCTGAAGACGTCCAACTTATCTACAAGATCAAGAAGAGCAAGCATTGTGTATCAAGGAAGCAAATTCTGATGACCAAGGCAGCGGTGGAAGTGATTTCGATATATTACTGGAAGAAAAATCCATCCAAATGGCTACAGGTCTTTCAAGATGAAGAGCGATTTGTTTTAAGCTTGGCACAAATTGCTTCAAGAATTCTTAGGAAACAGTCATTTGATCACTACATGGATCATAAACATACACCAATCAGACAATTGGAACTTCTCCCTTGGAAGGACTTATTAATTCAATCTCACAAACAAAATTGCAATCTCAAACTACTTATTGGAAGCTATTGCTCATCCCAAAATATGTTTGAAAAAGTCTTGCCAATTTCTTGAAGATTGAAATACAAGATCAGTGAATGTCTCCTTGATAAGATTAAAGATTATAAGAAACATTTCTGTAATTATTTTAGTTTTATTGTTTTTGGAATCATATGAATTCAAAAATGGTTCTTCTTTCCTAAAAATCTGAGGCCCCATTAATTGGCAGCATCATAAATTCAGGTGTAATATTGTCTGATAAATCCAATAAAAAAAAACAATGGGAAACATGTAACAAAATTGTTACTCAGGCAATTTCAACTACTGATTTCATTAATGCTGAGAACAAATTTGATATCTTAGGCCACCATGGGCCCCACAATATCAATATTACAATTTATATGGTTAAGAAGGGGAGAATTGGTATGATGGTGCTGAAAGTAGCCCATGACTTCAACTTTATCTGTACCAAGCTTGAAATCAGTATTTGAACTCGCCTCAGTAAAAATTTTGTTACACATTTCCTTGTTATTTATTTTCTATTTCTGTTTTTATCTTTAAATTACCCAGGTTTTCACTGAGAAACCCGTTTTTTTTTCACCCCTTTCCTGAAATTATCTTAGGATTCTGAGAGTGGTTTCCTACTCTAACAAATATCTTAAAAAGATTGGTATATTAGTCTTGAGGTACTTGGATAAGTTCATCTTTCTCATCATTTTTCCCTCAATCCTGCCATCAACCTTCCCATTTCCCTCACTCCAGATCACATCCCAGCTCAATATCCAAGACCTTCAAATGCTTATACTGTTTTGAGAAGGGCCATACTATCTCCAGGTGTCATCTTCTCAGTTACTATGAAAAGAAAGGCTTGGTTGAAAGAACAGATGCAGGATTCCAGCTCCCCAACAACTCATCTATTTCTTTGGATCCATAAATACCAGTCAAAGATATTGTGGACAGCTTCTCAGTATCTCAAACCAATCCAGCTCTCACCTCCCTCCATCACCAGTAGCTTGCAACACAAATCTTATTCCCAGCTGCCTTCCAGAAAAAGCTTACACTTCTCAGCACTTGCCAATCCAAACATATCACTGCTGTTCCAAATCATTCAGTGCCCACCCAAAGCAAAAAGCTCAACAAACTTCCACTCCTTGGATCAATTGAACCCAAGATCAATTTTCACATCAGTAAAGGTCTTGTTTATCCTGCATCACCTATTAATATCATTTCAGAACAACAGGCTTGGAAAATTGGATTAGAGGCCATGAAGAAAGAATTCAACTTAGAAGGATTAGGGGATAGTCACATCAAGATAACTGGGAGAGCTGTTGTCATCATATCAATAGAATAAATAACAGGGGTAAACTCCTTCTTAGTCACTCAAGAGACAGGGCCACTCTTACTCGGTAAACCTTCTGTGAGAGAAATCCTTGCCAACATCAGTTCCAAGGATTATTCTGAACTAATCTTAACAATTTATGATTCTATAAGGACATGAAATCTGAAGGTCCCAGTGTCAAAGGAGACCAGTCAATAATTTCACTCTGGATAAGCTCATTGTCTTCAATGGATTGGATTTCTTTAGTTCTTGGTTCTCATTGCTTTAATCACTCTATCACTCTATTTGCTTTGGTCCCCCATTCCTTCTTCTTGCCTCCTTCCCCTTATAGTTCTAAGCTCTTGATACAAATTTTCCTGGCATCTGTTCTCATCTTGTTTTCTATTGGTTCCAGTCAGTCCTGTGGGTTTTCTCCTCATTGCACAAACTCAATCCAGGTGTTTGACCCGGATCTTTTTTCTTTTTGCTGGCCATTCCTCTATCCCTTCACATTGATGCGACTCTGGTGGACAACCCAGATTTTGCTCACTGCTTCTCTCATCCTATAGAATTCATGTGCTGGATAAGGATAATTTTCAATAGGAAAGTAGAACTACAGTGATGCTAAAATCTTGAACGTTTTGATGGGTTTAGAGAGTTGAAACTTTGCAAAATAAAGTTTATGATAAGTGGTGAAAGCTGAATAATGCATGATAACAAGCACCGAGGTGGTGTAGAACTATTCACACGTTTGGTATTTCCCGGGAGGATCTCTACGATCAGCACATTTTAAACTACTTCTCACTTTAACAACAGTGAGTCCATTAATGCCAGCTCCTCCCTTCGACGAAGCTATGACGCCCGACTGTCGAGATAAAACTAAGTTAGCATTCCACGAGTTTCGCTTACTGATTCGATACGCTCGACTTACTTTCCCTTTACAGTCCTTGATTGTCTTCGATACAACTGAACCAATCTCGCTCTTTGTACTATTGGATTCAATAGTTTTCATGAGACAGAGCAAATAAACATCAGCTTTTTTTGCTCGCTTTTCTTCTTGTGATTGAGGAATGGAAGACCTATAAGAAACTAGGATTTGCTGATAAGTGACTTACCCGATAAGAACGGATTCATCGGTTGTGAAGATTTGTAGCTATGACCCAGTTGCCAAATGAGTCAGTGTGCCACCCGATTCAGTCCATGAGCGCCGGTGTCCATATGGCAGCTGAACTTACCGTGCAAGTTTTGAAAGTCTTGAATATGGTAGTCGTGGGCTGACCATTGTCACCTAACAAGCGGCTCTGCTTATCGACTGGGATGCTGTTGTACGCACTGAAAGTGAATGATTCCGGGAACTTGTAAAAAGTCAGCTTGAAAGGTCTCTCCAACGCTGAGGTATGCTGTTCATCAAGCACTTACGCCTGGCAATCTTTGTCGACTGTCAATGGTGCGTTGGTGTTGAGACCACAGGTCAAGGTTTGAGGTTCGATGTACCCGATATCATAGCCTCGACGATGTTCTGAGACTTGGATAAAGGAGGAATTGGATAGTGAAACTTGACCCGTCTACATGAGATTGTCGAAATGGATCATGTGAACATGGATGGGTTGTACATCATATCTTAGCAGCCGGTAGAGAACTGATAACTCACAAAGGCTTTACATTGGTCGAAGATGCTGGTAAATCCAGTTTCAATTTGCTGTTTGGTTCTGCTCGAAAACGCAATGCAAGAATTCAATGAATCATCAGGCATTCACTCGACCAGATTCGACCATTCAAATGTTTGTTTTCAAGACAGGCTCGAATGTTAAGAATCTCACTAACACTACGGCTTTTTCTGGGTTGAAGACGAATATCTGATCAAAGCATCAAACGATCTTCAATCAGTACAAACATTTTAATCTCAAACGCTTTTGAGATGGTCAAGAAAACTAGACACACGGTACAATTACCATATAGCTTCGCAAACGCGGTCGAGACCCTATCAAGAGTATTACCTGGTTTTTCATACACGATTTGTGAAACCGCTCTGGTGAATGGATTTGATTTCGATTGTAAATATGTGAATAAATATGTAGATGGAGAGCCATCAGTCAACAATATAATGGCAAGTCAAGGGTCGATATGCAAGCCGGCCAGACTGAACCACTCACTGAGCGCATTCATTCGTATCGACTGAGCCGAATTTAGTATCGCAATTCACTGCAGCAAGGGTAGTACGGGCTAACCAGGTGGCAGTGAGCACCAGAGTAACAAAAGTCAAGTGATGGGACGAAGAAAACATGATGGCGAATTTGATTGAAGGAGATGTTGGTGAAGATGATAGTAGCCCTCAAGGGATCGATGGGCTGATCTTATATACCCCGTTGCTGTTGACCGTCCAGTCATTCCCTCCCTCCCCTCTTTGGCCTGTCTGGTGTTGTCCAAGCCAAGGCCTACTCGAAACCGATCGATTAATTATTGGATCCCACAAAGCGTTTCCGGAGTATATCACTAGCTGTGATGGGCTATTACGCCGGCCGGTACATCTTGATGTGACTACTTCGGGTTGACTATAAAGATGTAATTATCCTCGTAAGAACACACTCAGCGGGTACATACACAGCTTCACTCAGCAATTCCGGGAAAATATATGTGTATGACTATAACGAACCGATCGATTCATCACTCTGAACCCTCTGCATTGGAGGAGCTTTGACCCGCCCTCGAATCCGATGTCAAAAACGCGCTGACAACCACCTTCGCTGAGAGTCGAATATAGGCAAACTTGAGTTATCGCTTCGATCGACTGGGATGGCCGCATTGCACAGGAAAGCTGAATCTACGATTAAAATTCATTTCGCCATAGAATTTCTTAAGACCTGGAAAACCCCTTCCAGGCGAGATCCAAGCGGTTTTTCAAGGCTAACTTTGCTCACATTGCAAGTTTTGAATCTGTTGAGACAGCGTGCCGAGCCCTCCGGTCCAGTCACTTGGGAGCCCCAGACCCAGTTTTCCAGGAGACATCTGGAGACATGAGTTCCAATCCACCGCACGTTCCTCAAAAAACTCAGTCATTAAACATCAAAATATGTACACCACAGGAGCAATTGAGGAAATCTCGAACGTTCTTGTAGCAACAAGCCAAACTATACGTCCCACAAATCCGGGGGATGTTGGAGGTGCGGCGGGGTTCAGCAACTGTTAAGAACCCTCACCCAACGGTGAACTCTGTCCAACGTCCGAGTCAATTGTTCGGAGGACATCCTGCTGCCCAAGGGTCCTACAAACAATGGGGTATATTAGGGCCCATGTCCCTTGGACGGCAGCAAACAAGGCTTCTGCCCTGTGAACAACAGCAAATGAAGCTGTTGTCCCAGGAAGTTGAACAGTAACTAAACGGTTTTGAAATTATTCAGAGGATGCTCTGGTGGGATTGTTTGGGGAACATTGGGCCTAAGAACACCTGTTGACCTGACAGCAAGCCAGATATTCGGTGTCCTCTGAACATTTTATAAGATTGTTCAGATGACATTCAGAAAGATTAGCCTAACAAAATTGGCAGAAATGCTTTGACAACTTTCCCCAAATCCAAGACCATTTGGAAGTTACTCTTAAGCTTCCAAATTTCCAGTTTGGCTGGGAAATTTCTATTATTTTCAAAAAAAGGCTAGTTGGAAAATAAGAAAAGCAAATGGTGCTTCACCAGATCATAATTTGCAACTGTGGAAAAATAGATATTGTATGTTTATCTAGTGGCAGACACAATTGGGCCCTCCTAGTCTTACCAGGTACAGATGGTCTTGGGAGTTTGACTCCAGGTGCAATCTTTTTGATTTGGAGCCCAAGCTTCCCCCTCAATTGGCCATCTTTGATCATCCTTCCATCAGTCACAGGATGGAATGACAACATAGCCTCTGGGAGAGAATGGTCAAATAAACTTCATAAACCCTTCCAGAGGATTATTCTCCGCCTTTCTACAAAACCCCAACTCCAGAAACCAATTAGTTTTTTTTGTTTTTTTCAGCTGCAGAGCAGAAAGGTACAGCTAATGGAACCTCCTAAATACACCAGGGCCCAGATCAATGTCCCTCTATCAAGGGTTCTGGTTGTTTGTCTGATGTTTCCCAGCTCCTTAGGGGGTAATGTTTTGACACAGTGCTGAAATCAAAATCAATATTTGTTGCACTTTTTATTCCATTTTTCTTTTCTTTCTCTTGTTGCAATATTTTTTGTTTTCCATTTATGTTAAAATAAAGAAATATTCAAGTGTTATAAATAACCTTCTTGCCTATCATTTATTGATAATCCTATCAATCATTAAGTTTATTCTGCCTATTGCTCCAAATAAAACAAAAATCTATCCTCTTTAATTAGATTAATCTATTTTCTAATCCTTGTTTTTCAGCCTGGTTTTGGTCTTTATAATAATTCATATTTTTCACGCTTCACATTTTTGGAGTTGGTGAAAATTTAACCAAGCCCCTTGTAAAAAGTAATATTACATGTCAACTCCAAGTAGTTTGGTGTTTTTTTTTTTTTTTCAATTTACACCAAGAACCTTACAGCTACTTTTGGGTCCAAATATATTTACCCTACAATTTTTTCTACTCCAATCTTTAGAATAAGGAATTCCCCTTTCAAAACATTATGGCCCTTAAGTAGACTCCTCCACTTCTTAAACAGATTTTTGTAAATCTTTCTCAATTACTGAGAAAACCACAAACCCGTGTGATTTGATTCCTTCCTCACATTGGCTGTGTTGATATTGGATGCTAAATCAATTTTGGAAGAGTCAGTTGCAACATTCCTCACCAACTCCTCCCTGTTTCTTTTGCAGGTTGAGGGTTTTAACTGAGATGAGCGTACATGAGTGTCACAGGATGTGACAAGGATGTAACAGGCTGGAAACAGAAGGAAAGGCAGAAAACCTTGGATCGAAAACAGACAAAACTCAGCAGAGAACAGGCTGCAAAGATTCTGAGCTTGAAAGTGGAGATTTTAATTTTTAGTTCCCTCGGGATGGCGCCCCTGCAATGAAACAACGACAAAAAATTGTTAGTACTTTCAGACGAGATCTACATAAGCTGAAACGTTTGATGATGTCCATAGTGGGACAGAATGAAGAAGAGCATAGAAGAGCTTACCGGTAAAAACTTCAGAACCACCAGGGGATGGGTGATACTGATACGTATTCAGCAGAGCTGATAAGTTCTCAATTCTCGCTCCAGTTCAGAGCTTGTTGGCTGCTACCCTTCGAGTGAGCCACTTCTCCACAAGCTTTCAAGCATGGAAAATTCCTTTCGGGTGTTTTTCATACTCTGGTCTGGAGCTCAAGTCTGCTCGGGCAGACTGGAGTTGCCGTCGCCTCAATCACTGGAAAGTACACAAGCGGGTTTTCGGACAGTTGATAGGTTGAGTAATCATATCCACATCTGTAGTTTCTGGCCAAGCAGCTTACTGACTCGTTGTGGCATGTGCAAAATTCAAATAGACTCAACCAAGGATCAAATGCACCATCAACGGACTTGACCTTGAGTCTCCCTGGTGGGGAGCGTGCTTCAAATGTATCGCCTGTGGAGTCTGAACAAGACGCAGAACCACGAGAAATCGATTTCCTTGGTGAGTTGTGTCCACACATCCCCCGCAAAGCAGCTTCAATCTCGCATCCTATTCTATACCATGTTGCGTATAGCCATTGACCAATGTCATCTCGATAGGCTCTTGGGGAAAGACTAGTTCCGATGAAACAGGGCTCAACATGAAGAGACCCTCACCCCTGTTTTGGGAGCAGCTTCCACACATTGGCAAAGAGGACGACCCCCACTCGCATTGGGACAAAAAATTAAAACCATCTCAGAGCTCGACAGCTGTGAACTTCTTGCAACAATATCATCTGGAGTCTTCAGATTTTCCAAGTCAGTCACTCTCATTGCTTCTAAAAAATGTTCAGTTGGGTAGATTCAGCTAAAGCGCATGTGCTGCCGGTCATGCAGATCGAATGTCGCCAGAAATTGGTAATCCGCGTAATGGAAGGCGACCTCTCTCAGCTATTGTTGGAGAATCTGTGACGCACAAAGACCTTCAGCCATCATCTTATGTAGCAAGATTAACACCACCTCTTCCATCAGATGGCAGTGGCAGTTTTTACGATAGGAGTCAAGAAGACATCCCAGAGAATTCCAATCACGGCACGCTCATTGATCTGACAGAGAGTTCGGATAAAGTAGCCAATGTTGAAATTTCAAGGGCCAACTTTAGAAATCATGCATTCAATCACAGACATCATGACAAGATTTATGAGGCGACCAAAACCGGTGAAATTGGAGGACATGCACCGTTGAAAGAAGATCAAATAACCCTCAAAAATATTAACCCCGTTCTCTTGGCCTGGTTGTACAGCATCAAGATTGGCCTCACCGATTCAGTCCACAAGGAAATAACGGACGCCAACGAAGGCATCATTTCAAACTTCGCCAAATCTCTCGCTTTCAATTTGGATGCATTGATCCATCATAATCAAAATCAGAGAGAAGGTCTTTCGATGGAAGAATTGTTAAGTCGTGAATCAAGCCATAATTTCAAAGAATTCGTCCACCTTCTCTGGTCTATAAATTCGAAGTTCATCAGGACCTTCCAAACAATGCAAGAGGATTATATTGACGAGCAGATTGGAGTTCAGCGTTGGCTTCTTAATCTTTTGAAGGACGTTGGGAAAGCAGAAAGTGTCTCAATGAAAATTGAAGAGACCGAGGGCCTTACAAACCTTCTGAAGAAAGCCCTCACTTCAAGTTATTCACCACCAACTTATAGTATATTTTATAACCACAATATTGCCTTACCAAGTGGTTTGGTTTGCCCGAATCAAATATTGATGACAGAAGCTGTGGTAAATGTCCTGGCATCTTACTATAAGTCAACAAATTTGAGAAAGTGGGAAGCCCTGTTCAGCGAGGATGAAGATTTTGTGAAAGCGCTAAATAAAATGATAAGTTGGAATGTGAATCGTACTTATGTCATAAAAGCAACAGGAATCGTTGAAAGCGAAGATCGACGTGCAATATTTCCTTGGAAAAACAATGTTCCTGCGGACTCGAAGTTTGCGACAAGAGATAAAAGGATACCATTCTTTGGCGGCGGAGGTGGTTCTCCCATCGACGGCAAAGTTCTTGACATAGAAAGACCGCTTGACAGCCACAATCTGATGATGACTGATTTCAAACCCAAAGACAAATGGTTAGCAGAAGAAAATCCCGATAAGATGTGGGTACTTATTTCGACAATAGAACCTTACTACAATAAGTATGTTACAGGAGACTGCCACCCCCCATATTATGGTCACATTGTCAGAAAATTGAAGAATTTTCGACCAGAAAGCGGAGAGCGTAGCAGCAATTTACGGATATCACACGATGAACCCTTCCAAGATGAATTCTATTCTAGTGCAATCAAGATGCTTCAACTGATTTGGAAGATCAATTCAAGATTTATCGAGAGTCTTGGCTATAGTGCGAATGGATATATCTTTCATCAAGAGCAGCATGATCTGGAGACCGAATTCCTTGAATTGGTGACATTATCAGAACACCCTCAATCCCCAAGCATTTACTCGCAATTGCCCGCAATGGAGAATTTAGCATTTGTACAGCAGAAGATCATTGAAGCCTTGTGTTCTGAAGACAGCCAAATTATCTACAAGATCAACAAGACCAAGCATAATGTATCAAGGAAGCAAATTCTGATGACCAAGGCAGCAGTAGAAGTGCTTTCAATACATTACTGGAGAAAAAACCCACCCAAATGGTTACAGGTCTTTCAAGATGAAGAGCGATTTGTTTTGAACTTGGCACTAATTGCATCGAGGCTTCTTAGGAAGCAGTCATTTGATCTGTTTATAAATCATAAACATAAGCAGATGAGGCAATTTGAAATCCTCCCTTGGAAAAACTTATTCATTCAAACCCACAAACAAAATTATGATATCAAACTACTCATTGGAAGCTTTTGCTCACCCCAAAGAATGTTTGAAAAAGTCATCTCCATTCCAGAAAGATTGTAAGACAAGGCTTGTGAACTTTTTCCTTGACAAGCTTAAAGATTAAAATATATATTTTTTGTAGTTTTTTTTTTTTGGTTTCAATCTTTTTGGAATCATATGAATTCAAAAACATTTATTCTTTCCCTAAATATTCAATATTTCATATAAAACTTGGGGATGCAACCCTCGAGTATCAAGGGGGTGGACTAATAATGCAGAATCAAAAAAGATCAACTGGATAAAATCCCTTGAGTTGACAGTCAATTGGCACTCTGATGCTGAGGTAGGATCAAGAAATTATCTATCCTGTGGTGGTTGATGAGATTCTGGGGGATTTGAGTGACTGGCGGTGCAGCCACCAGCGGGTTGAATATGCAATATGGATGACTCGGCCTAGTAGAGCCAGGGTGGAAATTTCCCGAAAGCAGATAGCAAAGGACAACGATCAAACCGAAAACATCAACAGCAAGGGAAGATAGATCGACATCCATTCGAGATGACTGGCGTATGGCTCAGGAATTCGAGTATCGTCTCAACCAGGAACCAACCAGCACGGATGATCCAAAGAGGTGAGGAAATACATAGCACTGAGGACTCATTCCTTCGATCCTTCCGAGGAAAGTGGAGACTGACGAATTATTCAGCTTCGACCTTAGGAATTGCTCGATCATCCGTCTTGACTGCTCATCCTCACCAACACTCTCGCGCATTTTCCCAGCTATCGCCTCTCGGCTTTCCATCCAACCACTGGCCCAGCACAAGCCCACTCATCCTACGAGACCGTCTAGCATATCCTCGATCATATAACAGTCTGATCAAACGATTCAACTCGACCGGACCCACTCCTCCTTCCGACAATGAAAAAGAATTAACCCAGTCTCATAAATCATCTTCCAAGACTCTGACTCCAGCTACTGATCAACAGTTAACTAGGCTACAGAGGATATGGAAGAGCGTCAGGGAAGAAGCGTCTCATTATTGGCATGGTACTAAACTTCTCGGAAAAGAGATCAGACTTAGTGCTAAATATCAATTGAAACTCTTGAAGGGTAAAAAATTGACTCGGAGGGAAAGGAGACAAGTGAGTGGTTTGAAATCAATCTAATAGAACACTGAAGAAAAGAAAGAAAACTAAATTTTGGACTGCTTGATTGTTGCGAATTATAGCTGAAAAGAACAACGACAGACTTATTGCGACTTATACCATTCTCAGTATTTTTGATTGTGCCATTCATGGAACTACTCCTGCCGGTTGCCCTGAAACTATTCCCGAACATGCTCCCATCGACCTTCCAAAACGAATCCAAAGAACTAGAGAAGAAGAGAAAGTTACTCAAAGTCAGATTAGAGATGGCCAAATTCTTACAAGAAACGTTGAAGGAGACTGGGATGACTAAGAAGCTTAATGAGACCGAAGAGTTTAAAGAGTTCTTTAGAAAACTGAGGAATACTGGCGAAAAACCTAGTACCGATGATGTCGTTAAAGTCGCTAAATTCTTTGAAGATGATTTGACTTTGGATAATCTTTCTAGACCTCAACTGGTTAGCATGTGTCGGTAAGTCTCCATCAATAATTCCCCCGAAACTTATTTTACCAAGACGTTCCCCACATTATCCAACCCACAGAAGAAAATAAAATTGTGCCAACTTGTTCTATTTCGCTAATGATTTTGATTCCAACTGTCCAGTTACATGAACATCAATGCATTTGGCACGGACAATTTCTTACGATATACGATCAGAAAGCGCATGAAACATCTAGAAGCGGACGATGCGATGATCGATGCAGAAGGGATCGACTCTCTATCGGTTTCCGAGCTCCGCCATGCATGTCAATCACGTGGGATCCGCTCATTGAACGTCGATGAGGAGGGGCTGAGGAAAGAGTTAGCTCAATGGATCGATCTTCACATCCACCGGGGACTTAGTGCTACCCTCTTGATTCTCGGACGGGCCTTTGCATTCAATCGGGGTGGAGACGGTGAAGCAGGAGATAGCACCTTAGAAAGCTTGAAAGATGCTCTCAGCAGCTTACCGGACACATTGGTTTGTCCCCAAATCAGGGTATACCCCTTTGTCTTCTTGAGGTTCATTGACCATTTTTTGCTTTCTTGCTCTTTCACTTCATAGCTCAACGAGGCAGAACTAGAGGTATCGAACGACAGTATCACCAACAAGCAGCGATTGATTGTGCTAGAAGAACAGGAAGAGCTAATTGAAGATGAGCTTGAGCAAGAACAGAAGGAAGAGGATGCCCGGAAAGCCCAACGAGAGCAGGAACGAATTCAAAAGGCAGAGATGGAGGAACAGGAGAAGATGAAGAACGTCGTTGAAACGGCTGCTAACTTGCTCCCTATCGAAAATGCTGTGGACCCCGATGCCATCAGAATGACCTCTGAACAGCTTAATGAGCTCGGCGAAGCCCTGTCGATCCTCAGCGCCAAATCGAGCGTGCTTAAAGAGAAAACCGAACTCAAACAATTGGCCGAAGAGAACCAAGAGGCATCAGAAGATGTAAGTCTCCAATTTTGCTTTTTTTATCTCTTAATGACGTTTCAATGGTCATTTTTTTGGGTGTGTTGTATCAACGAAAATAAATGATCTGAATGCTTGTTTTTGATTTCTTTGTAGCCCGAAAATACTTCTTCTTCAGCTTTGGTGAAACGAATTCAAAAGATGATCCAGCAGATCGATCAACAAATAGAAGAGTATGACACCGAAGTCGGCAATCGGATGCACCAAATCAACATTGGACAAGATGGCAAAATCAGTGTGGCTGACTTGCAGAAAGCGCTCGGGGCGATCAAACATCGGTGCGTCAACTTGTGCAAATTGAAGCGATCTAGAGAATAGAGTAGAGCTGACTTTTTGTCATGTAGTCCATCGGATGAAGCGATCGAGATTCTGATCGACAAGTTGGACATGGACCATGATGGCTTTGTGCCGCTGGACCATGTATTATCATTAGCTGAGGAGGAAGGGCTCGGGATCGTCTTCTCAGACGACGACCAAGACTCCAAGTCTAACAAAATCTTATCCAAGGGCAAAGAGCTCCGAAACGATGTCGGGCTCAAGTCTCAGAAACCTCCTTCCACCACTACCTCTCCTCAACAACCCCTATCTTCTTCTTCTTCTCCTTCTTCTTCAAATGACTCCTCTCATCAATCGGCTCAGAAGGATGATGTCAAACCTAAAAAATCTGATATCGTAGAAGACCCTTAGACGTTTTTTATTTTTCCTTAACCAAATAAAGTACATAAATATGTATATACATACATGCATAAGTCATGATATGATCAAATTAACCCTTGGCCGAGTGTCAAAACAATCCAATGTGACACAAAAAATCCTTGAAATTCGTTTCAAACGACGTTCATAGGTAAGACTTGATCAGGATCTGATGACCCCGTGGGCCTATTCGCATTAAGCTCTCAAACATGCAGTCTACACAGACAATTATTTCGCTTCAGAAGAAAAAAATCTAACATAACATTAAATGTTTTCGATACAAGAAAATAATAATAATCAGATATTGAAGAAGGTATGCAGAGGGATACATGTAATCAGAGGGCAGAGTCATCAATCACTGTGGATGTAAAGCATAACGATTAGAGTAGGCATGATTAATAAGGGATGGGTTGCTCTTGTGATACATATACATCCAAATGGGATATCGTTAACTCTATCAATCCGCGAACTCAGGCCTGGACAAGAAAAGTTTTATAACATCATCGGCCATAATCAGCCTGAGGAATCGATGAAATGTCCAAGAGGACCAATGAACGAAAGAAGGAAGCGAAGCATACCGAGTTCTCATGGTGTTTGTTTGGTTCAGCCGCGTCCTTCTTGAACAGTCCTACGTTAGCGCCGATGCCGAAGTTGCCGTAGAGGTTGTTGTAACCCAAGTTGTAGTTGAGGCCGCCACCATAGAAAGAGTTGCCATAGTAGAGGTTATAAGGGTTGACGAGGTAAGAGCTGCCAAAGGGGTAAGTGTAGAAGCTGTTGCCGAATAGCCCGCATCCGAGGAAGCATTTCTCGTCCGATTGTCCCTTGTGCGAGGCTGCGACTTGGTCTGCTCGTGGAGCAAGAGTCGGCATGGCCAGTGCAGTCCACTGGAGGAGAGCCATAAAGCAAGCGGCGTAGAAGAGACGGTTCATGATTGATTTGGGGTTTCTTTCTTGGTTGTGGGGGCGCGTTGGTTATTGGGGTTGTCGGGTTCGGAAGGATGTCTTTGGGTTTTGGTGGAGCTGGGGAGTGATGGAGGAATCTAGGCTCTCCAAGTAGCTTCTTAAATAGCCTTTCAGAATGGGTGTACTCGATGGTCATCCCTCGGATGGCGCCCCTTGAAATCTTGACCGAGTCCCATCGCCTTGTGCGGACGCCAACCTGATCTTGATCTCACAATATCCAGAAGAGCTGGATAGAAGTAGATAGACAATCTACGTGCCGATGGACCTTAATCTCCAGGGCAATTTGGGGTTCCACAACTCCCATGGTGTGATCACAATATGAAGTTCACTAAAGCTTCTCACCGACCGACTCGGCCCGGGACTCGGCACCATAAATTATCGGCTGTAGATTTTCTTGTAAGACACTAGAAGATGGACTTCTACACTCAGCGTTGCTATGTACCCTCGGCTTTGACTCGCCGCATTATTGGGAAGGTCTACATCGGACTATGTATCTCATACCCCTCACACCTTTGGTCTACATGCATCCATGTTGGCGATTACGAACATTACGACCGAACGGGGCATGCGGCCATCAGGCGTGCCCATATGGCCATCAAGCTTGTGAGGTGCCACGGGGCCTCGCCTGCGAGGCCCCACCATGGCGCCACCTCATGGCGCCGCCGGAATGTGTGGCAGAACAGCGGCTCGGAGGGGTCTCCGACCTGCAGGGCAGCGACGGCACCGCGAGGGACGCCTCCCGGGCGCCGAACGCGACAGGGTGTGTAATCGATTATCGAGTGGTGCCACAATCTTCCGGCGAAGCGGGAAGCCTCAGTCACTCGGATCCACTACCCCGACACTGCCGTTTATCACATGAAGGGGTCACGGCTCTCGGCCAAGCTGCCGCTGAGGAGCTTCCGGAGGATGAGAATGAGTCTACATAAATGGATACTAATCCCAGGCGTTGGGGCTTGACCTCAGCATTGTCTCACAGGAACCAGGCTCGTTGCATGAGCTGGAGGCTCAAGAATCGCGAATCAGAATCAAAAGGCCTCTATCTGGCCTGGTTTGTGAACTCGCAGCTTGCCTATTTAGCCGCGGCCCAAGAGGTGATGAAGGGCAAACGTTAACGGGTGGCAGACGCCGGTTGACTTTTACATCGCTGTCGCATGCCAAGTTGTCCAGATGGATACCGAACTGGCCGGCATTTGGTCCACCCTGATCGTCAGCACCGCCAAGACTCTGCCCGCAGGACGCGGCCCTTGGTTCGGGCTCGGCGCCGGCCTACTCAAGAAAGGCGAGGTGAAGATCAGCACAACCAGCCGGAACTGCTTGCAAGGAAGGGTGGGCCACCCCCTCCAGTCCCGCCGTTTGGACCGCCAGCGCGTTAAGCTGGCATAACTTCAAGTTTGAGATCAAGATCATAAAACATCCCAAGCCGACGAAGGCCTCATCTCCCTCCGAAGCCAACGCCCGGCCGACTGAGCCTCTATCACCCAGCTTCCCTAGAGTCTTCGCAGGCCCACTGATCTTAACCTCCGCCGCTGACGGAATTCATCCCGGTAAATACACTCATCAGGACTTTACCTTGCTGCAAACAGGTTATGACCGCTTGACCGTTCAAATTGTGGGTTAACACGCGGGTTCGTCTCAGTGCTCACCTGAATTGACTCAAGGTCAATCTGATGACACCTAAATCGCCAGGTTGAGGAACTCCCCAACCCCAACATAACATACTTAGAAGGATAGACCAGTTACCCCCAGGTACACTCAAGCTGAACCCAAACAAGATAAGAGAGTCTTTGTTCAACAATTCTCGATCTTGAGCCCTTCATCTCGTATACTTTTTCAGCAGGTTGGGGGATCCTTAGGAAATTGAGGTAATGCACGCAATGAGTAGAGGTAAATGCCAAAGAGAGATGAGTTTGTACATCAATCGGGTAAGTTAGGAGGCTGTTTGTCATGTCCTCGCCGGTGGGGCAACCTGGAGAGATGGCAAAAAAAGTTCTTCTTCGTGTCAGTAGCCGATTGAACCAAATCCAATAAACCTTCATCTGATGGTAGGAGAAGAAACCGACCAGAACCACTCCGTCTCCTCTGACAAATAGCATCTCACAATTCCGTTTGACAGTCTATTTCAAGACAGCAGCTCGAATCCGATTCGGAAAGGGCAAAAGAAAAGAGAAAACATTGAGGAGCAACGTTAGCATTTATAATCATATACAAGAACCAAAAAATAAGCTTTAATCGACCGACCCGGATTATCGGCTCGTCGTCCGGGTTTGCGGCCGGCTCGACTACCGTAATTGTTTCAATGACATCGGAAAGTACCATATTCATATGTCCATCATAAGCCTAATAAATCAAATACCCCACGAAATCAGTCAGACTTCTGTTTTCTCTGCTGGAGACAAATGGAAATTCAGAAGATTAAAGAAAGGTGGGTGCAGATGAACACTTACGTGAAGGGTTCCGTTGAGTACTCGGTCACCTCTGAGCTTAATCAACACACGTTCGGAGAGCGATAAACGGATCAAATCGAACTAGAAATCGTCCTCATACGTGTTGATCAGTCGACATAGATACGCGATTTCGGAATTTTTCGTTAGGGAGCACAGTCAGGACATTTCCATACCGGTTCTTCGACCCCATCTCCACTCAGGTCGGCCATCGTCTATTTGATAGATGTTTTCTTCAGGTGATGTGGACGGGTTGGCAGTTAAATTTCATAGGGTGCATATTACATCGGCGACTCGAGCAAAACTTAAAACGGGTTGTACCGGGAACCCCGAGTCCCTGTACGCCCCGGCAGCATGACCGCAGCTCCTTCCAGGGAGCAGCCAATTCAGGGCTGGGTTGCTGGGTTGCTCTGATTCAGAATATCAGCTTGAGATTCCATGGACTGCACCATCTGTTGAACATGGGGGCTCTAATGGGAAATTTAGCCTTGGGCTTTTTCTGACAGATGTCAAGATAAAGCCCAGCAATAGCTTGGTAGCCCAAGTGTGCCAGCCCAGTAGGTCCAATTTACAACTCATCACATTGATCACTTGTCAAGCAATTGTCAGTTTTTCATCTTTCTGCCCAACAATCCTGGGCAACACAACACCATGATAAAACAATGCTCACCATATGACTGGTGACATTGTGTAGCATAGATTACAACTCCAGTGTAGCTCAAGTGGTACTGCAATCCAACTACAATGGCCCCTTTGTGTGCTTCAGGGGGCTGAACTAGAGTTGATCTGGGCACATACTGTGTAGCATGATGAACTTAGCCTGATGTCACTTGTCATCAAGTGATCATTGTTTTTTCCTGGTGCAAGTGACCAAAAATCCCAATTGTGACCCAACTGGATTGAAGGCGGGTGAGATAAATACATAGGAAGCCCAACTGTAAGGAATTTTTGGTCCTTCACTAAATATTTATGAAATTGAACTCAGTGATGGCTGAGGGAGACTGTTCTAGAACCATTGAAGTCTCATGGATTACTAGCTCAGCAGAAACAAATAAAAGTTGAGTCTCTATTTTAATACAATATCTTATTTGATCAAAAGGAATGAAATGAAATGAAAAAGAAAAGAAAATGAAGATAAATTAAAAGAGAGGAAAAGATCAGAAGAGAGGAGTGGTAAACACTGAAGGCTTACCTATCTCAGCAGAAAGAAATGAAAAGTTGATTTTCTACTGAGCTAGGAGGAGGGCTGGGCAATGAATGTTGGAATAGCCGGTGGATTGCTGTTTATGTAATTCTTTTGTGAAACCTGCAAGGCGGGGTTTCACCCCAACCCAAAGTAAGTGGGGCAGAGAAAAATCTGAGTGGGCTGACCCAAACCTGCCCAATTCTCTACCCTAAGAGCAACTAGGGAAGTTCTGCATACTATTTTAATTGTCTTGGTTACTTTCAATTAAAGAAAAACTATACTCATAAAATGAAGAAATAAGAAGTAAACATGAAAATAAAGTAAAAAAAAAATACATTCTTGATAAAACAACTTCCAAAGTATGATAATTATGGACATGGTACAACTACAGCATGTACCTACCCACTACATATTAGAAGTCTTGTGGTGGCAATCACTGCCAGACCATCCATCTCAAACAATCAACCACTATCAAGCCACTGTCCTCAAACAGTACCACCAGTTCTCACAACGGTGGGCCGCTACACTAACTGTAGCGGTTAGTGTAGCGTAACACAGAGGAATTGCTGTTAGTGATTAGCGTAGCGTAGCGGAATTCCGCCACGACACCGCTAACGCTACACGAGTGGGCCACAAAAAGGGCCCACTACGCTGCGCTACAGCGGTTTTTGGCCGCTTTTTCCGCTAAAAGCGCTGTAGCGCAGTGTAGCGTAGCGAAAAACCGCTAAAAAACCGCTAACACTACGGTTTTTTGATGAAAAAAAAGCGCCGCTACACTACGCTTTTTGGGCCAAAAGTGTAGTGTAGCGTAGCGGCCCACCGCTGGTTCTCACTAGGGCATTTTAAGCACAAGATGCTAGACACAGGGGACAGTATCATTTTACTGTGTAGATAGTATTGACATGCAGTGACTGTGGACTTTAGCCATGCTATTGATTTTGATATGTTCTGGAAATCATGAGGTTAGACAGACAGACACAAACACTAGGCTATTGTATACATATAGATAAACACAGTCCATTTACAATAGTATGAATCAGACTAGGTGATAGAGATAGAAAGGAAAGGAGACAACAAGCTTGAGTTGATTGAATAGACTGAGAAAAGAGAAAAATGATGATATCAGTAGATTTCTAAGGAAGCTCATCCTTGATTGGTAACTCAGTACTAGATAATATTTCTGATTAAGATCAGTGCTCCTGACTAGGTCATGACACCAGTGACCATTGTCATCCATGCCAACCATTCAAGAGACAAAATGTAACTGTTTCTCAGTTAATGCTTGATACCATTTCAACAGTAATACCAATGCTTATCTAAGGCCAATGTTGTACAATTCTTTCTGTAAACTATTGGCTAGTGACTAGTCTGATCAGATTCACAAGCACAACCAACCTGAATCACATTGAACACAAAGATATCTGCAATCAGTGTAGAGAGGAAGTGACACACTGCTGTGGAAATCAGAAAATCAGTAAAAAAAAGTGATTCAGAATTTGGCTCAAATCAGACACCATTAAACCTGATGAGAATGAGATTCAAAAAATAAGAAAGGGCTATCAAATATAGGCATATCCACCATCATGTAATTGACTGGGGTTGAAAAACCTACCATTTTTCAAGAATGTTGGTTCTTCATCTTCCCCCTTTGGGGACCCATTGGTGTTCCTTTTGATAATTGACTGGTTCCTAATGGTGGATTGTTCTTGATACCCCTTGATACACTTAATACATGGTCATGCATCATCCTGTGAGCCTCAATGCACCATCAATTCATCATCCCGCCTGTATGAGGTACCAATGATGGGCAGCTATGCTAACCATAGTGATAAGTGCAGCGTAATGTACCAGAATTCTGCTAAACTTTAGCATAGTGTAGCGGAATTCCGCCACACCTGTGCTGACACTACTCGTGTAGGCCCCAAAAAAGGGCCCACTACACTGCGCCAACACACTGGTTAGCAGAAAATTGGCCCTTTGGCGCTGTTAGCGGCCCATAGCGCAGTGTAGCATAGCAAAAATCCACTAAAAAGTGCTAACACTATGGGATTTGGGTAAGGCATCTTCCCAAAGCTTGGTAATACCAAACTTCCCCGTTCCTGGACCACAAAATTTGGGACTTGGGATGGGGTCAGAGGAGCCCCAAAACCCTGTGAATTTTTGGGGTGTCATATTGGCTTTGTTTCATGGGAAAAACAAAAAAACAAGCAAAACAAGAAGAAAAAAACAAGAAAAAAAAGAAGAAAAAAAAAAAGACAAGAAAAAGACAAGAAAAGAACGGATTTCACAAGGCTTTGGGGCAATTCCAGAATTCCCGGGGTCTGTGACTTGGAATGACCTTCCAGCCCTGTCCCAAACCCCCGGCCGATGCCTTAGATTTGGGCGCAAGAAAACTACTGCTACGCTAACACTTTTTGGGCAAAAAGGATAGCAGCCCATCGTTGGAGGTATGGATCTTGCTGGCTTCAAGTTCAGCAAAAGCAGTAAGCAAGACAAGATGATTGTGCTTCAGGAATGGGTGGTGGTATTTGGGGTGAAGGGCTAGTTGCAATCAATTGTCAAGGAGGATACCAAAACTATAAGCAGGTTTGAGAATACTCCTTTTTTCGATTGGTCCATTGATCACCAGCAATATCCATTTTGGTAATCAACTCCCAAAGGCTCCTGAACTCAAAATTTGATCCCAGAATAGTGGAGGACTTCCTGTTGAATCTGGCACCCTCACAGATGTTGATTTAGACCCCAGATGTCTAAATTGTATCTGGGAAATTGAGCCTTTGAGGCTCTAAATTAATTCTGTCTGTAGATTTTGATGGCAAGTTGTCCAGTCCCCCATTTGCTGCAACCTCATCCTGTCTTTTTGGAAGTTGTGTTCTGCAATTTGGGAGTCATTTTTCCAACCCCAAGAAACACAGATTTTCCATTTTTCCATTTTATTCACCTCTCATGACCCCATCTTAAACAACTTCTCATCCTTTTCCAGATATCAGTGGGCTTCACAGTTGATTTTTGGACAACATTCCACACAACCATAAAGTTCACAGAAGGTTTGAGAAATGTTCCAAATTTGTAGCTTCAGAAACTGAGATTGTGAACCTTTTGAGCTGATGATCTCTTGTAGAATGCTGCTTAAAAATCAACTCTGAATCCCCCTATCATCCAAGAGATTAGGCTGAAAGATTTTGATTTATATTTCTTTATATCTTTTTCCTGTTTGTTTTGTAATCAAACATGTGTCCGATCCTTCTCTGCCTCGGTGAGATTGAACCCCACAAAGAAACTTCGTCCTGCCCAAACTTTGATAGCATCATTGCATGGTCGATGAATGAATGTAGGCCAAAGAGAGGTCTGATGTAGACCTTCGCAGTGCAGTGGTATTGGCGAGCCAAAGCCGAGGGAACATAGCAACGCCGGGTAACGAAGTCCAACTTCCAAGGAATAACTGGTGCAGGTTCTGGTGCCGTGGTCTCTGAGAAGTTCTAGCTTGTGATCACACCATGGGAGTTGTAGAGCCCCAACCTCGCCTTGAGACTAAGGTCGAGCGGTTCAATAGATAGATTATCTATCCAGCTCTTCTGGAAGCATCAGTTTGGCGTGCACCCAGGTAGACACTTGCACCCGATCAACAGTCAAGAGGCGCCGACAGAGGGGAGTGCACCCATTCTGAAAAGCTATTTAAGACGCCGCTTGAAGAGCCATCAGTCCCTTCATCACTCACCAGCTCCAACGACTTCTAAGGACATCCTACAAACCCAACAACCCCAATAACCAACAAACATCCACCCCTTACAAAAAGACCGCGAACCAGTCATGAACTGCCTCTTCTACGGCGCTTGCTTTTTGGCCCTCCTCCAGTCAGCACTGGCCATGCCGACTCTTGCGCCACGAGCAGACCAGGTCGCAGCTTCCCACAAAGGACAATCGGACGAGAAATGCTACTTCGGATGCGGGTTCAGCAATTACGGCCTTTACGGTTCCCCATTTGGCAGCTCTTACCTCTCGAACTACATGAGCCCGTACTTCTACGGAAACTCTCTTTATGGAGGCCTCAATTACAACTTGGCTTACAACAGCTACGGATCTGACTTTGGGATCGGCGCTAACGTAGGGCTATTCAAGAAAGACGCGTCTGAAGCAAACAAGCACCAAGAGAACTCGGTATGCCTCGCCTCATTTCTTCTTTTATTTATTGGTTCTCTTGAACCTCCCATCGATGAATCAGGTTGATTTTAACTGATGATGCTATAATACTTGCATTTGCTTCAGGCCTGAGAGCGCGATTTTATGGATTTAACGATGGTCCCGTTTAGAAGTAATTAATTGTATAATAATGGCAATCTGCACTTATTTATGCCCTAATCGTTATGTTTTCCAAGTGATCAATCGATGTCCTCCAGTTACATGTATCCTTTGAATAATTGCACTGCGTATCTTAAATTTTTACGCGTTTTTTTTTCTTGTATCATCACTTGGAAAGCATCAAATGCCATCTTAGGAATTTGTCTGCAGCAAAATAAATGTTTGTGCACACTGCATGTTTAAGAACTTAGTGCGAATGGGAAAGAAGGTCACCAGATCCGTGAAGTGCTACCCATTATGTTGCTTGAAGCAAATTGTAAGACTTTCTCAGGTTACATTGGACCAAGTTAGGTTTTATGTCTTGTTTTGTAGCTTTGATTACATGTGGATGCAGCAAAAAAACCCAATCAGGTTCATGATTGAACAATCATTTATTATACGAAAAGAAAGAGAATGCTTTTAATTAGATCCAGAGTCAGATGGTGGTTTCCCGACCAAGCCTTTAAGAACCTTCATCAATTGATCATTCTGCATCTGGCCGAACCGATTTTTCTGATTATTAGCGCCTGCAGATGATGCCTGTTGTCTAGTCGAATCATTGGCAGCCGGATTATTAGGGTTTGATGAGGTAGATGATGAAGTGGGTTGGAAGTTGCGAGTGATCGAGTTAAGGAAGTCGAGGACGATGGTACCCTGTCGTTTAGGTGGAGGATTTCCGACCCAGTCGATACTACCGATCTTGGTCTGAGCGTTGACTCGAGTCGAATCACTGTGAGTGCCTTCTCTGACATTCACCTTCAATCGGTTCGTCCCTAGAGCTCTTGGTTTGTCTCTGGGGTCATGGTATCGGACCGGCTGGTCGACTTGGTTATTGAATCCTTGGAAGTCGAATTCGCTCGGTAAATCGTAGGGGTCAATCGAAGCTGACTCGACCCTGAACTTCGCCTTGCCTTGCTCCAGATTATGGTATCCGTTCGAATCAGGCTCGAAGGAGGTCGAGGGTAGGTCGATGTGAGATGAACGCTGGAGAGAGCCCACAATCCCCGCAAAGCTCACGTTCTGTCGACTCGACTTGATATCGGCTTGATCCAGTATTCTTCCCGGGATCGCGGGTGTTAAGCGTTCGTTGTGCAGCTGATCAAAGTGTGCATAATTCAACCCGAGATTGGGATGAGTCATCGGAAGTATGTCTAGATTTGTTTCTTCAACCGTTTCGTTCTCAGTAACATGTTCGAGAAATTCTTCTATGTCTCGTCGGATTTGATCCGGGTTTCCTTGCGCATATTGGTATAGATCAATTGTTGCCTTTGGTGCGTCGGGATCTGCATTTGATGAAATTTATTTTGACGAAATAACAAAATCCAGATAGATTTGAGATCACTGCGCCCCTGAGAATGATAAATGGGAAAAGACAAACCATTAAGTTGGGCTGATTTTCGATTATTCTCCTTATTCTCTAAGAACTCTTTGAATGCTTGTCTTCGAGTCCGCATGACTTCCAAGAACTGGTTGAATTGAGATTGATGCATCTGCCAAATATGTTTCATCCTTCCCTTTTCAGCTCGAGGGTTTGATTGAGCACTGTTTACTGAAAACCTTCCAGAAACCCTGGCGTCCGAGAGTGCAGCCTCCCTACTCCCCTCATCAAACCAGCTGAATTCGATTCGAATCGGGCGTGGTTCGGGTGCCAAAGTAGGTGGGGCATGGTTCTTCCTGGCGGTCTTGACCCCGATCTCCATCTGACGCCACATCTGGACAAGGGATGTTTCGGCCGCAGCCGAGCGATAATCGACCTGCCGATAGGGTGTGTCCAATGATTTCAGTCGGATCCATGGTGACCTCGGACTCAGTTTGGGTGGGAGTGATCGCTTCAAGCCGAAGTCTCTTGAGTTGAGATGTCCATTGTAGGAGGTGTAGACCTGTTCTAGTTTCGTGTCCACCGAGCCGACCACTTTGGATTCTTTGAGTAGCTTTGAGAAATGAGACATCGTTCTTGACTGGCTTGGCTTTGCTGTGGTCGAACTGGCTGACCGAAACTCCGACCCGATCACACTGACCGGCTGCTGCGTCAAGCAGCCGCAGTCGACCCCATCCAGCCCGCAGCAAACACACAACTCCGATCAATCCAAAAGAGCCGTCCTTGTCCTTGGAAAGAGATATTCGAAGCTCCCCCTCAACCAAAACCAGCGCGATGGATCAACATACGGGAAGACAAACAGCCGTAATTTTGGAGACCAGTATGGGTGTCATCCAACTCGAATTATATTCGCATCATGCGCCCAAGGCAAGTCGACCAGTTCCAATTTTGTTGAAGTTGGATATACAAGCAGGCACTTTTCAGTAGAACTTGAGATCACACATGCCTTGCCGATTATCGTGCTTCGTGCTGTTTCCCTTATCTTATAGCATTATGAAATTTAATATTGACTCATTTGATTTTGGTTTACTGCACAGACTTGTCATAACTTTAGTGAATTAGCTAATCGTGGATATTACAACGGAACGGTCTTCCATAGGGTGGTTGCAGACTTTATGGCACAGGTGAGAACAAAACTCAGCTTCCGCTCTTTTTTTCTTCGTCTCATTTTGTGGTGGTGACGGTGGTATTCATAGATTAACGGCGTTTCAAAAATTTTGTAGGGTGGCGATCCAACCGGCACAGGGAGAGGCGGCAGGAGCATTTACGGAGACAAATTTGAAGACGAAATTGTGAGCAATTTTTCTGCCGTCACCTCACCACAATGATTTGTGAATTGGCAATTCCTTGCTTTCCTCGATCGCACGAAGTTTGTGTCCTATTTGGGGATCGCGGAACTAACGGTTTTGTTGGGCACCCGGCTCTATACTATCACATCGACATCTCCGTTTAATTTCCCTAGCATCCAGAATTGAGATTCACAGGGGCCGGGATTTTGGCGATGGCAAACAGCGGACCGAATTCGAACACTAGTCAATTCTTCTTAACACTAGTTAAGCCATTTATGTCCACTGCACAGTTACTCGACTATAAAAAAAATGCACATATTGACAGTGACTTTTTACTTATTAATCATGAAACTCGAATGATAGGCACCTACACCGCATCTAGATAAAAAGCACACTATCTTCGGTCGGGTTCAAGAAGGCTTGAAAGTTCTAGAACGAATCGGATCGGTTAATGTGGACTCGGAGGATAGACCTCGGGAACCAGTCAAGATACTTAAAGCAAGAGTGGTCGAAAAACAAGCTTGATTCATCACTGTTCATTTTTTTTCTACTTTTAGTTATTTCTTCCCTCTAGATGCACAGATTACCCCATCGAAAAATCAGATGATAAGAAGCCAAATCGTGCAGAAAACTGGGGTGTTCATGTGAGCTGGCTGTTCATCAAATTGCTTGATCGCCCAGTCTCCATTGTATGTACATCAATAAATTTAATGGTTCTGTGACTGTTGGATAGTCGAGCTCACTTAATTCTTCTCATTCTGATTACCTATTGTAATTTAAGGCATAGTATACCAAAAGAAAGCCAAGTCATTTGCACTTCTATGTATACCAAGCCTTTATGATGTTTCTAAAACTTCACCCCTCGCACGAAAAACAAATGGGATTAGGGAAAGCTTAACAGTACATACAGTCTGAAGAAGTTTCTTCAAACGACGTAATGGACTGCACTTCACAGACCCGATGACCTCAGTTTCCATTGGCACTAAGCTCTCAAACATGCAGTGTGCATAGGCAATTATTTTACTTGAGAAAAATTTCTAACACAACATTGGATGTTTTTCAAGTGATGATACAACAAAAACAACCAGATATTGAAGGAGATACGCATTGCTGTAATTGAAAGTATACATATAGATGGAGGGCATATTCGTTGATCACTATGGATGGAAAACATAACGATTAGAGAAGGCATAAATAAAGGGAACTAAGAACGGATCAGACTGCCGTTGTGATACAAATTATTCTAAATAGGACATCGTTAACTCTATCAAATCGCGATCTCATGCCTGAATTAAGTGAAGATTATATGACATTATCAGTTAAGATCACGCTAATTCATCGATCAACTTTTCAAGAGAACCAATACAAGAAGAAAGCAGGCGAGGCATACCGAGTTCTCTTGGTGCTTGTTTGCTTCAGACGCGTCCTTCTTGAATAGCCCTAGGTTAGCGCCGATCCCGAAGTTAGATCCGTAGCTGTTGTAGGCCAAGTTGTAATTGAGGCCTCCATAGAGATTGTTTCCGTAGAAGTACGGGCTCATGTAGTTCGTGAGGTAAGAGCTGCCAAAGGGGGAACCGTAAAGGCCGTAATTGCTAAACCCGCATCCGAAGTAGCATTTCTCGTCTGATTGTCCTTTGTGGGAAGCTGCGACCTGGTCTGCTCGTGTCGCAAGAGTCGGCATGGCCAGTGCTGACTGGAGGAGGGCCAAAAAGCAAGCGGCGTAGAAGAGGCAGTTCATGATTGGTTCGCGGTCTTTTTGTAAGGGGTGGATGCTTGTTAGTTATTGGGGTTGTTGGGTTTGTAGGATGTCCTGAGACGTCGTTGGAGCTGGTGAGTGATGAAGGGACTAATGACTCTTCAAGCAGCTTCTTAAATAGCTTTTGAGAATGGTTGCACTCGATGGTTATCCCTCTGAAGGCGCCCATGACCGTTGTCCTCTTGTGTGGCCACCACACTCATGTTGATCTCACGACAGAAACAGATAGATCGTCTACGTTCCGAAGGAGCTCATTCTCAAGGGGAGTCTGGGGTCCAACGATGTGATCACAGTATAGATTATACTGTAGCCTCTCATCGACCAACTAGGACCGGCCCGAGTCGTTCCGGCCCGGAACCCGGCTCGTTAATCGGCTGTAGATTCTCTTTTGACACACTCAAGGTCGTCAATATCCAGCACTCGGCGTTGCTATGTACCCTCACATCTAACTCACCACATTACCACTGGGAAGGTCTACGCGAGCTTAACAAAGCCTCTCGATCGGAGGGTCCCGAAGGGACGCTCTCCGAAGGAGAGGCTTACATGATAAATTGCCCTACCGGCCTGAGGTCATAAGGTTTAAGGGTGAAATTTCACATTTTTTAACTTCAAATTGATTTACCTCCAAAACCTCAATTCCTTCTAAGTAAATGAGGTTGCTGGAGGTTAGCCATGCATCTTGGCTTTTGTTTTTAAAAAAAAGAAAACTTTTAGCTACAAAAATGAGACTCCTACCTCTGTTTGAAGGAGGACATGCTTTGGGAGTTAAATCTCGGCAAATAGTAATAAATTTTGTTTATTTCCTCTCCTTCAGATAGTCGGATCGTGCTTGCATGACCGGATCGGAATTTAGAAAACTTGTTATGTCGTAGTTGACAGGTTCTTTGACACCATGAATGCGAGTGAGAGTTATTGAGGCACGAGTACGTAAGTGGGAGGAAAAGAGAGTGATGGCTTAATTGCATTTAGAGAAAGGGCATAATGTGGAGAGAAATACATGCTTATCTATAGTCCACATTATGTAAGAGAAAAAGGAAAGAAAAAGAAGAAACGTGAGAAAAGGGATTCATGAGATAGTCGGACGTCTCTTGTCGAGATCATCATCTACAGTTGCGGACGGCATAAACCGACCCTGGATTTGGAGGATGTCCGAATAGTTTAGCTGAAAAATTAGATTTTTTTTTTGTATTTACATGGTTTTCCAGCCCTTTTGGGGCCAAAGATTAATATAAAACTGGCTCAGAGTGTCGAATAAACACTCCAAGTTGATGCTACAGGCACTTGAAGGACCTCGAAGAGGTATAAGACCATGAATAAGGCCAACTTAAACCCATAACTATGGGTTTAAGTATGGCTTTTGGTATGCATGTCCGGATACATGTATGCCACACAAATAAAAAAAAAGAACCACTGCAGTAGAAGCTCAGTGGTTACAATTTTGAACTCTACACATCTGTAGGAGTTCAAAATTGTAATAAAAATAAGTATCGGGGTACATGCCCCCCCGGGCATAGACCCCGCGTGTCAATCTTTGATTTTGCGGGCGGGGCATGGTCGGTTTTTGCCATCCGCAACTGTATGTCATTTATGACATAGACTGTAGTGAGACGTAATCATTACTCAAGATTACGTAGTCGAGCTACAACACCCCCCCACTCGACTAGGGTTCCGACTCGGACCCCGCAAATCCAGAAGAATCCGGTCAACCCGCGGACGGGTTCAGGGTTCGGGATCGGCTTTGGGAGATCCGGCATCCGGTCGGATGCTGAAAACCCCCAGACCTCGGGGGTTTTGACGGGGAATCCCCGAATAAACCCCGGACGGGGGCCGCTGTGCACTCTGTCTTTGCTTGTCTGACCCCCTTCTTTTGGTGTTATACAGCAGAATATGCAGAAAAAAAAATATGTCAAAGATCCGGAAGAACCCGGCGCGGGGCCGGATACCCGCCGGGTTTGGCTGCGGGAGGGGTGAAACCCGGATCCGAGGCACCGGGTCGGAACCCTACACTCGACAAGACCATGACTATCGATCGAGGATGTGGAGAAATTAGATCCTATGTCTGAGACCAGGGGGGCATCGTGTTGCCAAAATCTGGTTGGAAACTTCCGCCTGAGGGATGTCGTCCGGTCTTAATGGATTCAGGCCTCCGATGTGCTTTACTTAGCTGGCTGTCTGGGGTTAACCAGGTGACAGCTCAAATGGTAGACAGAGCCTCCGGCTAACAGCTCCATCGCTTTGAATGAGGATTGGCAGATTGTCGGGAAAGCGACCCGCACATGTTGACTCTGTAACCGGTAAGGCATATTCAAAATCAACCAAGAATTCCAGCGATGTGTTGAGTGCAAGTCACATGAGCCGTGGTATGGGTGGAGCCGACCGGACAAAGCTGGAGAACCTAAAGAATAGTTGCATCTTTCATACCGAGCCGGTCGCACAATACATTATCTCCGGAGATTGAGAGCTGAACGTTGTTGGGGTTGGGTTGAGCGGCGAGTACTGAGGTTGGTCTGAAGGGAAAAGCCGACAAAGAGAGTCAAGAGAATCCAATGGCTTGCCGGTGGATTTTGGAGACCGCAGGGAAAGTGGGTCACTGATTGGGAGGCCGTTAGTGAGTGTAACCAAGTCGCAAGTCGCCTGCATTGTATTGGTATGCATACTGCCGTGAACGTCAACAACACTCCACATCAACATCCTTCTCCCGGACGCTAGTTGCCTCTCGCCCAGCTGGAAGGATCATTGATTCGGTCGACCGGATTTCAGTGAGAAATTCGGGACCGCTCATTGATGGATGTAACAAACAACGTTGAACGGCGAGCTCGACCGGTGTTGGTTCCATAGCTAAGATCAACACTTTAGTCAGAATTATCGGGACAAGCTGACCCCCCCAGTTTGGCACCACTCTGGTAGCTATCAACATTGATCCAGGGCGACCGGAGTTTGTAAGATGTGAGTACTGGCAATAGAATCCAAGACGCTGTAAGACTCAAAAGTGGTTGTGAAACCCTTTTGCTGAATGGAGAAGGGGATGATGGAGTTGCAAGCTCTGCCCTTCTATGCTATCAGAACAACAAGACCACCAAGCTCAGCTTGGCAGTTTATATATTGTGATAGAGGATAGTTTGAGATGAAGCTGTCGAATCAGCGGTGGGCCGCTACGCTACACTACGCTTTTGGCCCAAAAAGCGTAGCGTAGCGGCACTTTTTTTCATTGAAAAACCGTAGTGTTAGCGGTTTTTTAGCGGGTTTTCGCTACGCTACGCTGCGCTACAGCGCTTTTAGCGGAAAAAGTGGCCAAAAACCGCTAAAAACTGCTGTAGCGCAGCGTAGTGGGCCCTTTTTTGCGGCCCACACGCGTAGCGTTAGCGGTGTTGTGGCGGAATTCCGCTACGCTACGCTAATCGCTAACAGCGATTCAGCTGCGTTACGCTACACTAACCGCTACGGTTAGTGTAGCGGCCCAGCGTTGGTTGAATGATTCGTATAACGGCAACAATGAAACTGATGCGATGCATGCATAGGTATCGCATCGTATCGGGCCTTTATCGCATCGCATCGCAAGAGCGATGCGGGGCCCCGCATCGCATCGCTTGCATCGGATTCTTCGATACAGTGTATCAGTATCGCATCGGCAAAGCGATGCGATGCGATGCACCATAATTTGGTGGCATCGGTTTGCATCGCTTTCCGATACGATGCTGATGCAATGCATCGCTTTTTCGATGCAATGCATCGCTTTTTTGATGCAATGCATCGCTTTTTCGATGCGATACCGATACATGGCTATTTATCGCATCGCATCGCATCGTTTCACCGTTGATAACGGTTAAAGGTGTTGATGGTGATTGTTGATGATGATGTTGTTGTTGATGAAGTTGTTGATAGAGGTGTCAATGATTGTTGTCGAGGTTGAGGCTTGAACGCAGGTCCTTGAGGTTGAGGGTATATAAAGTTAAAAAGAGGTGATTTGGAACCAAGGTGCTGGGCGCTGGGAGCACTATGCTTCAACCAGGAATGGAACAGGGGACTGGGCACTTGGTATGATGATGATGATGTGAAAGTGTTATGAATATATTGCGATAAAATAAGGGTGGTTATATAACTGTGACCTGTAATATAATGGGTGGTAATTGTAAGGGTGGTTGAGATGATCTGGTCCACTGGTGGGATGATGAAAGGTACAACTGGCAGGCAGAGGCCTCCTTATATAGACAAAAGTGAGGGATTTTAGCTCCAGGGTACATGCAGCTGAGGGAATTTAGCTGGCCTGAAAATCCAATGAGGGAATTTAGCTAGTCTAGTACATGCAGGTGAGGGAATTTGGCTGGTGAGAGCACAGCCTTGAGGGATTTTGGCTAGCCTACAAGGTCCTACTACAAAGGAATGCATGTGCACCTACAAAGGAATTCAATATGAAATATAAGCCAGTAAAGGAATTCAATATGATACAAAGGAATTCAATATGAAATATGCATAATAATAAAGAAAAGCTCCTGTGACAGCTTCAGATAAGTGTAACTTCTGAACTAGTAGAGATAAGAGGGTAGTTGTAGTGAGTGACTAGGGGTTATTTTACCTCAGGAATCCATTTTTGATGTTATTTTTACCCTATCTTCAATATCTAGAAAGATAATAATAAATTTTTATATTTTTGGCGTAGAAACACAGGAATAATTACCACATCCTCCCCCAACTTATTGACTGTCCCCAGTCAATTCTGACTTTGACTGTGTTTCGGAGTTATATCTACAGAAGAATTTGAAAGAGCCTGGCCTTGCGAGTGTCTGATTGGCTTGAGGGGTGTTGAGTTGATGATGAATTTGTGTCCCCGAGTTTTGACAAAGCATGCGTCCAGAGAACTTATGGCTTTGACCGGTGGTGAATTTGTTTGTCGAGTATTGTACATGAATCTTACAGCCGGAGAACTTGTTTATTTGTCCAACTTTTTTGATTGTAGTAAAAAAAATATGTTTTTTTTTGTCTTGTTTTATTTATTTTATTTTGTTCTTGTTTTTATTTTATTTTATTTTCATCAAGTACTGGGATTGAACTTGAGTCCTCAGAAAAAATAATTTTTTTTTTTTTGTGTAGTGGTACATATAGTTTTGCGGAAAAAAACTTAAGAAAAAATTTGATGTCTGAAAATCTAGTTGACAGATCAAGAACACAACTCTAGAGCCAACTCGACTAGAGGTGCAGATGGAGGCGCTCTTGGTTTGGCAACCGAGTCGTTCGCGCTGTAGCTAGAATGTTTCAGCCCTGTCACAGGTGTGACAGGGTCCGGTCCGATCGGCGTTGGGTGTGCCCTCTCTCCACTGTCGATCCACCCGTGGGTTCTACTCTTCAGTTTTCTTGTTCGACCCGCCTTCTCAATCTCGAGTTCGAAATCAATTCGACTCGTCCGGCCTGTCACTTCGCGCCACATTTCTTCTTGGTTCCTTCACTCAATTTGACGATCCATCTGACAGGTAAGCGGGGTTGTTTCTTCTATTCTTCTAGTCAATTTCCCTATTAGCTGACCACCTCTGAACCAAAGCAGCACCCACGTATCCGTCGCCGTTTTTTGTATGACCCTAGCGTTCAGCCCCCACATTTCGTGCTCTTTTAGCTCTAGAGGTGAGTCGTTCCGCCATCTTCTAATCCGAATATCCATCTTAGATTGTTAGCGCTAGTGATTTGGCCCCAATCCTGCTGACTCCTACTTCGATTCATCCTGTCTCTGTGCCATCTAGGATCGTTATTGCGCTGATCGGTCGATAGATTCAAGATTCCATGAGTGATGTCACCACTGATGGGATTTCATCACGGGAAACCGCTGCGAGTGGGTTTCAGTCCAGCCAGTCTCTTCGCCAACGCTACCGTCTTGTCCATAAATACCGGCCTCGCCTCCGTGTTTCCAATCTTTCCTCACCAGTTCACTTCACCAGCCAGCTACATCCATACCTTATTCACAAGTAACCGCTTCCATCGATTCGTATTTTGCACCACACTCTGTCTTCTCAGAACCGATACTGCTATGTCTTCCAACCCTTCTACCACGTCTTCGCCCATTGAGATTCCAGCCCCTCGCGGCTATCAAGCGATATCCAATCCGACTCCCGCCAACGATGTAAGTCCTCATTTCTTTTGATTCTAACCCTGATCGACTGCTAGTACTAATCCCGTCTCTGTTTCTAGACCTCCTTCGTGCAGAACGGGATCCGCTACTACCCTGAACGCGGCGATTGGAGCCCGCTCTTCGTGCCTAACGCTGAAGTAAGTCTTTGTCTTTTTCTCCTGCTTATCTATTGTTTGACTAGCCTTACTGATGGGGCTCAGCTTGTGTTTGATATAGACCCCTCGCGCCGCGGACATTCCTGTCGACCCGATCTCCGGTCCTGATGCTAATCCGGTGAGTTGTCCTTTGTCTTCATTGTCTTGTTGCGTTGTTGAGTTTGACTGATTCTTCTTTACGCCTCTTCTACTTGTTCTAGGTTGATCATCCTGCCAACACTCAGGTTGATCCCATGGCTGATCAAGACACCGAAATGAAAGCGGTAAGTCTTGATCTCTTGCTGTTCATTCTAGATGCTGAGCTGATAACCTTCCGTCGCCAGACTGTCCTCGACAACGCTCCCAACTTCTCTTGTCCTCCGCCTATCAAGGCCTTCCCAGCTCCCATCCCCCTTCCTTATGGGATGGAGCTCATCCAGACTGGTACCCACTTCCTTCCTCAAAAGGAAAAGTGGCAAAGCCTCTACGATCCGGCCAGGAACTTCGATTTGGTAAGCTGTTTTATTCTTCTGCTCTGTAGTTGCTTGTTGTTATACCCTAACACTATCTTCCCTTCCTTCTAGTCCACGATCCCAGACGAAGTCCCTGTTCCTCAAGGGTTTATCGATCCTCATCCGTTCTGCGACATGCCTGTGTGCTGCGACCCCGTGGTACGTCCATTTCCTTTCTTACTCTTCTCCTTGTTGTCTTCAGGTTACTGATCCTGAGTTTTGATTTTTTTTTCTTTTGTAGTTCCAAAACCCGCCGCCTGGACTCGTCCTTCCTGCTGTTAATCCGCTCATGGCCGCCAATATCCCGTTGCACGCTCCTGGCGCTCATCCAGCTTCAGCCTCGACCTCTACGTCCGATTCCTTGACCTATCCGCCTCTCTCCGAGTTCCTTCACCTTGGCCACAAGGATGTCCAGGACCTTCTCTCCAAGAAAAATTCGCCGCCAGACGCCACCTGCTTGTATACTGAAGAAGACGTAATGCGTATCTTTGAAGGTATTGCCCCTGAGTTCGTTTGGCTTTGCGATGATTTCCCTCCCCATACTTTAAATGAATTCGACCGCCGTGTTATGTTCTTTGAGAACATGCAATGGCACTTCAAGTGCAAGAAGTCCACCTACTTGTCGACCCGTAACTTCTGAGTATTGTTTTCTTTTTCTTCTTTTTCCTAAAAACCAAAAAAATTGTAAAAGATAAAAGAAACTAAAAAAAATTTAAAACTTCTTCAAACCTCAAAAAAAACTTTTGTATCCTCCTTTATCCCTGACTACTCCTCCAGTTATTATTAGTTATTACTTTTTCCTTCTTTTCTTGATCTTTTCTTTTCAAGTAAATAAATTTTTAATTTTTCTAATTGATTGACCAGACCCCCTCCCCCAACTTTGATGGTTGTCCCCAACCATGGCTGACTTTAGTGAGTAAGAGTGAAGAAATCTTTTTGAAGAGAATGAGTTTGAAGAAAGAAATAAAGAAAAGGAAAAGAAAAGAAAAGAGATAACAGACTATGCTATGGACTTTTCTCCCCCAACTTATAAAATTTGGCTGGAATTGGTATGTTTTTATCTTTTGTGTCTTTTCATTCCTCTTTTTTTTTTTTTTTTTTTTTTTTTGATGATATGGTATTTATCTTTTATCTTTAAATTTTTATGTTTCTTTGATAAGATAACTAAAAAACTGACTTAGAAATACAGAAAAGAAATTCAGAGAAAGATATGAAAGAAATGTTGTTATTCTGAAGTGTTAGAATCCCTGTCGGAGCCCTCTTCTGAGCTATGATCCGAGTCTGATTGTGAATGTGAGTCTTCTTCGTCCCAAATATCTGATAAAGGCCGTCCTTGTGGGTAGAACCTCTTGATATGAGATGCGGCATAAGCCCTTTTTAGTTCAACTCCATCCAGTTCCTCGAGTATATAGGATCCTCCGTTAAGTTGTTTCTTGACTTTAAATGGTCCATTCCACCTATTTTCAAACAATTTTCCCCACTGATCCTCTAGACTCTTGTTGTAGGTTAAAACTAGGTCCCCAGGTTGAAGTGGTTGTCGTAATCTAGCCGCCATTTTTCGATCCCAGAACCGAACAGAATTTTCTCGAGTTTCCATCATTTTGTGGTGAGCTATGTCCAAAATTTCATCCCGCCTTTCCAATTGTTTTGTCCTTGCTTCCAGGAGTTCTGCCGTAGTACTGATTTCTGTCCAATCAATTCCCAGGTAAGTGTCCATTTCGATATCCACGGGAAGAACTGCCTTCTGTCCAAACATCAGCTCGTACGGAGAATATCCAGTAGTCCTTTTTGTTGAGATTCTGTCTGAGAATAAAACTAGAGGTAAATATTCCCTCCATTTTCCGCCTGATTCGCCACACATTTTTACTAATGTATCTTTGATTGCCCTGTGGCCTCTTTCAATCATTCCATTTGCTTCAGGGTAATACGGCGTAGTTGGTTTGAATTTGGCTCCAATGCTTTCCACCGCCGTAATAAATTCGTTCTTGAATTCTGGTCCATTGTCTACCGTAACTGTCTTGATCGCTCCGTATCGATACACCCAGTCTTCTAGAAGGAATTTAGCAATAGTGGATGCTGTTAATTTGACCAATGGTGCTGCTTCTGCCCATCCCGATAAGTCGTCTCTAGCAATTATTAAATATTTATACCGTCCAGCTTTGATATGGCAAACGTCCAAAGCCACTCGTCCAAATAGAGTTGTTGCCCCGGTTGGGTCCCTGATTTCTCTAGGTACTAAAGCATCTCTTTTCTGACAGGCCTCGCAACTTTGAACCCACAACTTTGTTTTCTTCTTCAAACTGGGCCACCAAAATCTGCAAACCAGTCGTTGATAAGTTTCCTCCAATCCTCTGTGCCCCAATTCTTCATGGACTTTTCTCAAGAGTTTGCTTTGGTAAGAAATGTTGGAGATAACTAGTTGAGCCATGGGTGAGTGTCGCCGCATGAGTCTTCCATCTTGGATAAAGAAGTTAACTGATTTCCGCTTTATTGACCGGTATTCTTCAGGATCCATGCCTGTTGGCCGTTTCATCGTACTTAAGTAATTCTTGAGATCCATCCAAAATCCTGGTGATTCCCATTCCAAAAGTTCGTCTGATATTGAGAACGTCCTGAACTGAAAAGTTGCTCGTATTACTGGCTCCTCTTCATCAAAATCTGGCTGATCTTCATAGAATTCGTCCTCTTTGTCACTGATAGGTCTTCTGGATAAAGCGTCCGGTAAGGTAAATGTTTTTCCTGGTTTATGTACTATGTCAAACGAGAAAAGTTGAATAAAGGCCACCCATCGCGTCATTGGTGCATTTGGGAGTGAAGGTGAGTTAATCATTTGAATAAGTGATTGCGCGTCAACTTGTAATTTGAAATGTTGACCCCAAAGAAGTGTTTGCAGTTTCTTGAGAATTCGAGAGACTCCACATAATTCTAATTTTGGCTGTGAATATTTGGATTCCACGGGTGAAAACACTATTGACTCGTATAACACCGGTCTGTTCAATCCTGTCTCTAGTTCTTGTTGGGCCAAAACTGCTCCTGCCGCAATGAAACTTGAATCCACAGCTAGTACAATCAGTCCTGCGCCTTCCAAATAGTCCAGATTTTTCAAGGTGATGTCTTCTCCAATTATCTGTTTGAGTTTGTTGAATGCTTCATTACATTCTCCAGACCATGCCCAACTAAAGTCTTTCCGTGTGAGTTTCCGTAGAGGTGCCGCAATTTCCGCTAGGTCTTTGACAAAAATGCGGACGTAAGTGACTATTCCCATGAATCCTTGTAGCTCGGTGAGACTGTTTGGAGTTGGCCATGTGGTGATTTTGTTTTTCTTCTGTACTGAAACTTTGCGTCCTTCTTTGCTGACCACGTGTCCAACAATATCCAATGCAGGTACGCAGCAAGCAAACTTCTTTCCAGATATAGTGAGTCCGGCTTCTTCAATCCTAAAAAGTACTCTCTCCAAAGTTTGAGCATATTCCCAGATAAATCTTCGAATCCCCGGGTTTTCTTCCAAAACTTCATCGTTGTAAGTTGATCGAGGTCCTTTTATTCCACCATCGTCAATAAATACACCAACATATTCTGGAATTTCGTCTTGAAGAATCCACATCATTTGAGCTTGATAGACTGCAACCGAGTTTGTGGCCCCTTGAGGAAGTCTGGTTAGTTGAAATCTTCCCAAAGGTGTATCGAAAGTGGTTAAAGGCCTTGATTCTTCCGCCAATTCTCGTTCGTCGTATCCTCCCATAATATCTCCTAATCCATAACAGGCTCGTCCCGCAAAGGCTTCTACAAATTCTTCTGTTGCTGGTGGTAATCCTGCGTCCTTGATGGTTACTCGATTCATTTCTTGTAAATCGTGCACAATCCGTAATTTTCCATCATGCTTTGCAACACAAAAAACTGGACTAGAGTAGCTGGAAGTGGATTGCTCGTATAAGCCGGTCCGTATTTGTTCTCGCACTAGTTCCACGTAATCATCCTTAATAGCAGCTGGTATTGGTATTGGTTTCTTCTGCCACGGTATATGATCAATGACTGGTATCACGTAAGGTAGTCCGTAAGAGTGTTTCAAAAGTCCTCGTTCTTCCATACAGAATGCTAAAGCTTTTTCTCTGATAACAATGACGTGCTTAAACAGTTTGAGTTCCTCTTTCCAAAGCCATCCTTCCGGTCCAAAATTAACAACCTTTAAGCGCTCTTCAGTGATTTTCTTTGTCGGTGTAAATTCTGGTGGGTGTGGAGTAAGTGGAGTTTTGTATGGATCTCGAGACAAAGGTGGTCGTTTTAGTGGTGGATTTAGTAGTTGCGGAAGTGGTTGATTAATTGGTCGAACTTTCTTCCCAACTGGTTTATACTTTGTCATACACCACAGATTTCCTTCTCGCCAACTTTCACACAGCTTTGTCTGAAAGGTCAAACCTAAACCTTCCATAAGTAGATTATCCGTGATTCTTTCCTGATTCCGTCGTACTGGTCCTGATACTGTTTTGGTTGAATTGGCTTCCAGAACTGGTTTCAGTCCCTCTAACGTCAAAGTTCCATTTTTCCTTGTCAAAGCTGATTCTTGGTTAGTCGTAGTATACCATAATCGTGCCGTTTCTGTTTTACAAATTTTCAAAAGTAGAAGAAAAATAATCAGAATGTTCTTTTTTAATAACATTACCTTTGCAAAATATATTTTTGTTTGTTTTGGTAGTTTTTTAAATAAATCCAGAAGAAAAGTCTTGAGCCAGTCTAGAAAACCCGGTGTTCTGGATATGACTCGCTTGACTAGCTTAAGTGAGTAATCCCTTAGTTGAACACCGGAATTCATAAAAAAGACTGCTTTGAAGAATTCTTGAACATTCGATTGGCTTCGTTCGGCCGTATATTCCCGTTGTCCTGTAACTTCACGCTATTGGTGCTGAGGTCTTTCTTATTATTCCAGCCTCTTCCTTGGCCTGTTCTTGCTAATGGTACTGACACCCTGCGTCCCTTCGTTCCTTGGAAAGACAGAGTTTCACCATTTTCATGATATTCCAGAGTGCATCCATAGTCGAATAAGAATGGTCGTCCTAAAATACAGTCCTGAGCCTTGGGTGAAACAAACAGGTGTGCTGGTCCGGAGAATCTTCCAATTCCGATTGGGCAATTTTCAGCTACTCCATTTAAGTCGCATCGTGCTCCCCCAACTCCTTTCATTGGTATGTCTACTTGTACTAGCTCCAAATCCAGGTCTTCTGCTACTGATCGAGGCATAACGTTTACCATGGATCCTGAATCTACCATAAATTCCACGCTAGCTCCCCCAACTTCGGCTGTTACGTATCCTAGGGCACAGCTATAGTAGCAAGGGTCCGTCGGGTCTTCCACCTCTGGAGTAGTCATAGCTGCCGAGACTTTTGCGGTTTCCGTAGTAATATATGTCGCACTACTCTTTCCTGGGAGTCGGTTCTGAAGTTTTGCAATTATTTGCTCCGTGTAGGTTGGTGAAATAGCCGTGAGTTGTGAAAAGGTTGTTGGAATTTTCAAATGATCTAACTCCTGCAACAGAGCTTCTTCTGGTGTTGCGGCCTTGACCTTATTAACTGGCTTTTCTTTGCTCCATACTTTCTCTACCACAGGTGTTTTAGGTGTTTCCTCCGCAATTTCGGAAATCTCGTC